GCTTTGTTTGTTGATAGTTTAATTCATTAATTTATTATTAGTTTATTTGAGCATCCAACCGCACCTTTTATATTCTATATACAAAGCACCTGTCTGCCCGTGAAAATTTCAATTGACAATTAATTAGTCTCCCCCGTGCAGAAAGGTGATAAAAACGACGTATGGTACTCCTTCCAACCCGGCGTTCAATTAATACGATGGATAGGCGATAAGATATCGATCCCGTGTGTCACGGGATTAAAACCGGTTTATCAAGCTATCAAGTTGCAGTTTTTCCGTCGTCCTGGCGGCTATTCTGGGCGCACCGACACTGCAATACACAACTGACGACGGTTTCCGTTGAACGATGAACGGACACGATCGATAAATCTCTAACTGTGTCACGCATTTCGATCGCCCAACGCCGCACACGTGCCACACGTTATCGGAAAAATTTATTGTACGATCGAGAAACGAAGTTGCGAGATCGGATTACGTACCCTTCGCTTATTCGTTTCGGAAACTCAAATAGAATCTGACGGTATCAGGTGGCGGACGTGAATCAATAACGGTTTTTCGTCACTTTATTGTTACTGTCGCGCTGTATATTAATCGTCGCATCGGGTCGTTGCACCCCGTCGCGGTTCCTACGGGTGCAAGGTTCGCGACAACGACGTCGTTTGTCACCGCTCTCTTCGCAGAAGAGAGTTTTTGGCGCGCGGCCGAGTTTTCCTCAGCTTCGCACAGTTTTCGGAACGGAATTTTCGGGAGCCGCGCGTGATTCAGAGGATTTGCGCGTGTCCCCCTGCCAAATAATGTCTTGGTAGACTCATCGGTATTTATTGACCGTCAGCTGATGTTCCCGTTCTTACGGACAAACGAGTCGTAAAACGCGTAATCCCTGTCGGGTGTCCCAGAATTGTCGCGGTTAATCCCGAAGACATATATTTGATAGAAAACGAAGAATAACAATAATTCTAATCTAATAACACGAATTCGATGGTTGGACTAAATGCAATTGAATATTAAAACTTTAATAAAGCATTAAAAATTGTACCTAAATATTATCGAATTCTTTCTAAGAAGAATCCATTGAAATATATACATATTTAATCGAAGCTTGTGAATATACTTTACTATGTAAGTATCAAGTAATCTGTTGATATAAAACCACTACATAAATCGATTTCTCTTTATAACGTTTAGAGATAATTAAACGTTGTATGTAAAAATTAATTGTATTTAAAATCGGAACTGTTTTTGTTTATGAAAATGTTTGCTATCATTTTAGAAATGCGTCATATAAATAAAAAAATGATCGATGATATTCGTTCTTGGCTTGTTTGCCATATTTTCTTGTATTGCTTCGAAAAATAAGAACTCTCTTTTTTGTAAGAAAATTTGTTGTAAGAGAATATAGTTCTAAAATTGAGACTACTTAGAACTGTTTTTAACTGCAAGAAAACAATATGTTTAATTTTTTTTTAGATATTTAAACATATTCCAAAATCCTATTATAATTTAAAATGTGACAGACAGGAATCTATTTTCTTTTAAAGAAAGAGCTAATTTTAATTTTGGATAAATTACATTTTGATAGTTTGGTTTTAAAAATTTATAATTTTTATTATAAGTTAAGAGAGCAATTGGCAAAAACAACTGATCATTAGAACAATAATTAATTTCTATATTAAAGGATCGGAACGATGTTACGTGTGATAAAATCGATAAACGCGCCGTTGTATGTGCATTACGGGCGAGAATCGGCGACGGATAGACACGTTCGCCCAATTAATGAAGACAACGCGTAACGATGGCGATTCGTAAATGCGATGTCAAAGAGAAGACTTGTGTTTCACGATCGCGGTTGTCCTTTCACGGATTGCGCTCGCAATCGAGCGGGCGGCATTTCACGCACGGGCAGAGATCGTCGCCGGCTCGTAAAGGCAATGATTTCCTTTCGTTACACGAGCCACACGTTAATTCGACGAACACGGCTGATGACACAAGCGCGATGAACGTTATACGATCGCCGGATGAGATCGATTCTAGGAACGATTTCCCTTTTCCTGTTTATTAGAACCGAATCTTTCGTTAGGATTGAAGTCAACAATGTAATGATTGATCACGCGATATGCGGCCAAGAAAATCCATTCTTACATCGCATTCCTCCTTAGCATTTCGCAATCCAAGTACACAACTTTCAAATTTAGAGCAAAACGTGACGACCGGACAACAGCAATTCTGTTTCTTCATTCGTCGATTAGTTAGTTATTGTTTGTTACTAAAACTTGTTGTTTGTCCATCATGATGTTTGTCTAATGCTTATAAACACGAGTGGAAGCGCGTATGCCAAAACGACATTGGCGGTTTCCTTTCCTCGAAATTGCAGCGGTAATGAAACAATCATTCGGAATAATGTGCAGAGGGGAGGAGAGGGAATCGCGAGCGCGCGCGCGTAATTGCATTTTGACTCCATTTCGTCTTTGCATTCAGAGTGCGGTCCACGTGGCCGTACGGGACCACGTGCGGTAGGATGGAATATTTCATTATTGCATTGTAATTTGCTCTATGCGTCGTACAAAATTATGATGCATGCGACGGTATGTGTAGAACAAGAGAAACGACGTGACACACGTGACACATGTGGTTGATGTGGCTATCACATGTAAATTCTTAATACAGAGGCCATGTGGTATCGAGATGTAATTACGCTTTCATCACTCTTTCGACTGACTTCTATTTTTATATTTTCATATTTTACATTTTTACATTCAACTTGTCATCTTTAACAATACAAAACTGTCGCGAAGTTCTTATCTTTTGATAATATTAACGATAGTTGTTAATTCCATTACGTCATTTAGTAATTTCGAAAACTGTGAAAGATTATAATGAGTTATGTGACAACGCAATTAACTAAAAATTAATAATATTACTGTTTAATACATCGCGCACATTAAGCCGTGATTTAATAAAATTTTATAACCAAAATATATTTCACAATGAATTTTGAATCATAAAAACTCATAATATTCTGGTCATCGCCCTTTTTGAGGCGTCAAACGTCGCGTAAACTCTAGTCGAGGTCAAACACTTAACCTTTCCAAAAATCTATAGAAAATCTCGCCAACGAAGCGGTAAAAGCTTCCACTCAGACGAAAATTGCGCGAAAGAGCTGCGTGTTATAGTATTTGCAGTATTACTCGTATTTTTAAAAACGGTTAGGACACCTTTCAGATTTCAGTATCCCTATATGCTATCTTATATTATATCTTATATTATACCTTTATAATATATACGTATATATATATTTTTATGAATAATATTATTTAAACATACGCAACTATTAATCAAGTAATTTGCAAATATGCATGTATCACATGTATACATATATGATTATTTGACATATTTCAAACCTGCTATAAAAATTGACATATTGTTTGCCGAATTTATAAATGTATTGATGTTTTTCATTTATTCTCAAACTAAAAAAAGTTTTTGGTAAAATTTATTGATAAAAAATTAATCATGTAATTAACTTTAAAAATATTCTTTTATTAGAGAGGCTTCCACAGATAATTGTAATTTGAAAATTACTTGATTAATATTTGCTTATATTTAAATTAGTAATATTATAAATAAAAAAATATATTTGGCGGTATATAAGATTGCCTATGCAAAACAAATCTTGTTACTAACGGTAGATAACGTTGGTATTTGATAAGAGACACTGATAAAATACTATATAGGTGTATTGAAAATTAAAAATTTCATGAAAGTATTATATTGACAGTCTTATAATGAATTGTTAAAATTTAAAAAATTTATACAAATATACATGTATCTACATACAATTCAGTAATATTCAACCTTTATTTATTAAACTGCACTTATATTGTTATCATCCGAAGTTAATTATCCATGAGGATGATATGAAGAAAAAGCAATATACAAAATATTATTGCGTCATAAATGTGTATGCCTATTTATAAAACGTTTGTATAAAAATAAATTATGAATTTAGTATTGCATTAAAATGAAGGGAAGCCTTGCTGTAAAGTTGTCTATTTTACCGACAAAATGTGATATAGTTTTTCGACAAGTAAAACTTTTTGTTGATTATGCATTATAAATTTTTTTTCCACAATTAAAGTGTAGACACAATTAAGTGTTTTTTTCATATAACGTGCCAAGTAGTAAAGAACTTTATGAATTTTTTTACATAAACGCTAAGGAAAATTAATTAATAACAATCATTTTTTGAAAGTAAATAATCGATTTTTTTCATGGAAAGGATTTTATTTCCTTAACGTGTAAATCAGCATAAAATATAAGAAAAAACGTGTCATTTATTTTTGTCTATATTTTAGTACATCCAAAGTTCATTAAAATGAGAACACTTAATTGCGTTTCCTCGTTAATATTTGCACACAATATTGGCGGTTTTACTTTTTTCTCAAAATTCAAAAGGTTTTTAAATCAGATTTAAAACATTTTTTATAGACAATTTAAGTATAATATAAATGACAAATTGAACATGTATATACTTACATCTTAATTACATATAAAAATGTAAACTTATTTTAAGTAATTTGTTAGTGTAAAGGAATCATTTAATTGTGTGATATCGCTTCTTGTATATCGATTAAGGTAAAGATCGATCGCTATGATTTTGTTTCAAAAAGTTTCGGTGAGGTCTGACAACGGATTCGAGAGTCAGTCCTTTTGACGAGCACGAATGAATACGAATTTGAATATACCGATTCCCATTAAGTATAATATTTGTATAATTATTTTGAGTTTCTACATTTGAATTAGTCTGTTACATTAGTTTAAATTGCCTAAATATTAAAATCTTAATGATAAATTAATTAATGACAAATTAAGGTGATATACTTATGTACTTTTTAAATGATATGGAATCTTGATATTATTATAGCAGTTCAATTATATAATAATATTTCTAACACATTAAACAATATACAATGTATAATATATTTTACATATACTGTATATAATATATTATACGTATATACTGTATTAAAAATATTTTTAACGTATTAAACAATGCATCACAAATATATTTACCATTAGTTTACAAAAAAGATAGATGAATAAAATAAGGTATATAAGTAATTGAATAATTTAATTTCAATTGTCTTATGATTATATACCTTAGTTTATGTTTATCTTCTGTTGCATAAAACTTACACATAAATTTGAAAATTTGATTAATTTGATAATATTACTATTCAACAATATATCAGCATTATATATTGTAAGAGAAACAAATTGTAAGAGAATCGATAATTCCACTAAATTCTCTCTCTCTCTCTCTCTCTCTCTCTCTCTCTCTCTCTCGAGTGTGCGATGTATTCCGCATGTCATATTTTACAGATTATATTTGAGTGCTTAAGATAAATGCTCGATTTTTTAACGATTGTCTTCTCTTATGAATTGTCAACCATTCAGATTCATTCACGACATATTAGCGGGCCTAGCTCTAACCAGCGTTCCGTAGTTGTGAAGCGAGCAAGCAGTGCAACGTTCCGAACTTGGTTTATCCGTGAGGTCCTTAGATGAGTCTATTTTTCCAAATTGACATATTACCACCCTGGCGCGCATAAAAAAGAATATAATATTAGCAAATTATATTATAATACTAAATTGCTACATATCTAAATAGAAACTGAATGCCTTATTATCATGAAATACGTAAAATGCGCCGATACAAAAGAAACAAATTTTATTAAAAATTATTGAATTTAGAAAAAAATAGCACCTTTTTAACTTATCCTTATACTTAATATCATGTAGAAGCTGAAATAAAGCAACTGCTACATAAGGTTTGATGGAGTCGTTTTTTAAATATGTTTTAAAGACATCAGCATATTTATCAACTTCCTTTTGATTTGGCTTAACAGTTTCGTCGAACCAATGTCCCGCCTTGGGATAATTCAAATCTTGATACCACGGATACTTAATTTCAGAAATGCCCCATTTATGAAGCAAATCATCTTCGTTTCTAATATTTTCGACTAAACAATCAATAACTTCAGGTTGAACTTCCTAAAAAATTAAGATTACATGTAATCCATAAAATTTTTATTTCCATTCAAAATGAATGCAATTTTCTTTTACGAATTATTAAATTTAAATGAAAAACAATAATTAACAATTATCAGTTATAAAGAAGCATTTGTTTACTTACAAAAACATAACGTATATTTGGATTACGTTCTCTAATAACCGTAGCAATACCCGTTGTTAATCCGCAACCATCAATAATTGTCGGTAGTATGACTGCATCGATGTCACTCAATTGATTTATAAGTTCTAAACCCATCGTGGCTTGTCCAATGATCATATCTGGATTATCATTTCTATTAAAAAAACGTTAAAAAATTTGATATTGGTTAAAAACTTGTAAAAAATTATTAATAAGATAAGTTTTTTTGAAACAAAAATAAGGTAATATTGTATACATATAAAAGTATTAATTAAGTAATAATTAATCCTTCAGTTTAATCAATTTCTGAAAAATTAATTTAAATCTATTGCATACAGGAAGTGAAAACAATTAATGAAAATATTATTTTATAATGAGAATGCGTTTTTAGCTATTATTGGCGAGAAACGCATTACTTGTAATTTCACTACTGTTATACAGTTGTAGTTAATATACATTTTTTTATAATAAATTGATAACGACGTTTTATTTATCTGTAATCTTAACGTTAACATAATTACATTTTATCGGTAAAAACAACAATTTAAAGATTATTTTAAACATTTTAAACCTATATGTATTTGTATAATTTCTATTTGTTTTTTGATGGATATGAAATGTTATTCTTAAAAGAATCTTGTACCATTGATGCTAAAAATCGATTTTTTAGTTACGTAGGCAACCAAGTTGTCGTTTTTACAAAGTCCCAAAATTAATCGGCTACACTTTGGTTACAATTTGTTTTTTTTATATTTTTCTTTATACAATGTATATACAAAGATGTTGGAATTTTATAACACTTCCTGTTTGCTTTTATCGTAGAAATTCGTATATAATATCGGTATTCTACATTAATAATAAGGAAAGGTAATGAAAATAATAACGACTCGTTAGTTATTAGGTGAAGTGAAGATAACGAGTTATTTTTAGAGAAATTATTGAATAACGATAACAGTAATAAAAGTTTATCTTTTTTTTAAGTAACTTTCCCAATCCTGGTTTTAACTTAATTGAAATTTTACTAAAAAAAGAGTACCCATCAAGATAATACAAGCCGTCCTCCTTGGCAATATGTAAAGCAAGCTTAAACGCTGCTGTCATATTACCGCGGGTAATCACTTTTATTTGTTTTTTCACACAACTTGGACATCTATTAGTTTTACATCTTGCTGCTATTGATTGGCAAAAATTCAAATCTTCAGTCGCCGCTGATTTCGGCATCACCACTGTCACTGGTACGTTCAATTCGTGTCCATAATGACAGAGAATAGTAGCGAAGCTGCCCGTTGAGGCTGCAATTACTCCTTTTTCTCTCTGTGCGTCTGACAGCTGTAGAAGAGTGTAAATCACACCTCGTGTTTTAACACTACCCATTGACTGGAAAGCTTCATCTTTGATAAAGATTTTGATAGGGGTTTTATTTTCCGTATTGCTGAGAAATGAACTCTGAAATAACCGTATTTCGTTGAAGGTCGCTCTTAAATTTTGAATAATTTACATTACAGTGCGTGAGTTAATGCCACGTTTCATGCGTTATTTGCAAAAAAAAACGAGCAAATCATTACTTAAAACAAATTTTCAATTTGTATTTTATTGCATATAATATATTGCATGTAATTTATTTCAATTTAGAGTTAAATTTTTTAAATCACTTATTAACACGAAAAATTGAAAGATATGCTTTTATATTGTTTTTGTTCATTTTTGTCTACTTTTAAATTTCAGAATCTACGAGATTATTAAAGCTATAAAAATTTAATATCAAATTATTTGTACTTTTGATTTTACTTCGTGCATATACTTTCAGTTTTTGACAATTTTGTTAAAATTACAACATCTAAATAGAATTAAATTAAAAAGATTTTATAGTATTTATTACTTTAGTGCATTTTGTTGTCACAATGTGTTTTTTTATTTGAGACAGTGCCGAATCGATTAATTCAAGCGAGAAATTTCTTCTTTCACTTTGAGGTGTCTTTATGGAACCTTTTTCAATTATGTTCTATAAAATAAAATACTAAATTAGCGTAATTTATCCAATTTCCGAATGTACGTGGTACATCGAGTACTGCAAATAATATTTTTATTCGATAGATTGAGTTATCATTTAAATCGGAAAGAGGAATAATATTAGGTATTTCTCTATACATTTCTGAAAAAACTGTTCAAAATATGGAAATATTGTCGTATGTATCATTTGAATCGATATGTTCTGTATATTGAGTATAGTTGAGCTTTGAAATTATGATTAATAAAATTTGTAATACCCATTTGTAATGTTGAAACCGCGAGCATTGTCGTTTCACTACGGAGATCACATTATAAAAAAATGGCAAGCCATAATCTTCTTCACTTAAGCTTTGATCTATAGTTTCACTTTTACTTTCCATTATTTTCTTTTCCACTTCTTTTCTTGAATTTTAATTTAATAAAATTTTGTTTTCTTCTTAATGGAAAAAACACAGATGTATATATAATATAAAACGTTGCTTGTTTGATAAGAATTATATAACACGCAATTGCAGATAATCTGTCAGAAGGAATAGCGTTGAGTCTGCTCTGTGTCGGCTCTCATCGAATACTAATCTCTTCCTCGCCAAAAACAAACGTTTCTCGTCTGTGTTTACCTTACTTACCTTTCGTCCTTTGCCGATGTTTGTGTCTTTTGCAGCGAATTTAATTCGATAACGAAAACATATACAAATGAGTCTGTCATAGAAGAAAAGAAGTGTTAACACGCATATTCATGTCAACGCGGTAATTTCAATCAGACTGCTATAATGTACATACATAATATACAAATATAGAGGCAAGCGCAACTGTAAGTTCTTTACAATGTTTAATGCTAATATAGCATCATCATAAAATTGAAAAATCAATTGAATGTAATTCTAATATAATTTCAGCGTATGCACATTTTAAACTGACACGGATAAGATCTTAATTTTATACTTTGGACTCCACCTTTTTCCGAACGTGAAAATGGTTCAATTTTTATTTACTGCACTGACTTTTATAAATATACTTTGATAATTTATATTTTTACCTATATATGCATGTATTTGATTTGACTTTATGCGCCTGACTTTTGATGCGATTCTCTGAATCTGTAATTATTGTTATAGTTCCTTAATTTTTGTTATTATATATTCTTTTATTTTATGTAATTTATTTAAGATTAATAAATAAAGTCGAAATGTACGTTTCTTTAATTTTAATATTATGTGTTATCTATTAATTTATTTTTACATTTTTATGTGCTCGTTTTTTACCTATACTATCTATCAAATTATAGCGAACGGCTTTATTATTTGTTATGTTACGTCTTATGGATAAATAATTAGTTAAAATTAATTAAATATATAAAATTTAATTTATTCAGTAACGAATTTAATAATACACATACATTAAATGTAGATATTATAAATATTATAGACGCTTTTTTTTTACATTTTTAATACTTTCTTTAATATAATAATGAACGGAATAAAATAAAAAACTGTGTTACCCGTGGAAATATCCATAGGCTTGTTCTTTATAACTGAACTGGCTGCACTAGTTCAGAGTTTATCTTTCTTCTTCTAATGTAGAAAAGAAAGATAAACTGTGAATTAGTGCAGCCTGTTATAAGGCCAGCTAAAGAGGCTTTTGTAGACTACATAGTTTAATGCGCACATTTTGTGCACATAGAGGCGCTGATAGACATGACCAGACGTGGTCACCAGACGTACTAAAACACGGGCATATCCACGGCGTCCAGACTTTTTTTTAGATACTACACATGTGGAGATTGATTCTATACCAATTTATTAATTATTTCCGAGTTGTCTTGGTTGGAAGGCGGTGGCAGTGCCTATAAATAAATAAAAAAAGTAGAAGAAATCAATCTATATATATTAATCATACATAGTACGTACACACGTGGGGATTTAGGGAATTGATTCTTTATCAATCTATTAATTATTTCCGAGTTGTTTTCGTCTAAAGACAGTGGTAGTGCCTATAAATAAAAAAAGAAGAAATCAATATATATATATATTAATCATACAATTCATATATTCCATCAATATTTATTTGTTCATTGCTACTGTGACAAATATCCAAAATATTTCACACTCCATTTCTTAAAAGTGATATGTTGTTATTGTAATATTATAGATACCTATTGTAATATTATAGATACACAGAAGAAAAAAGAGGACTTCCCCTGCTGTTTCATAAATGAAACAAATTTATTTATGAAATTGTACATTTAATTCTGGAAGCGACCGAGTGTACTGACTTGATTGAGTCATGAGGGAACAAGAATTAAAGTCGAAGGCATTTAAACGTGCTGAAAACAATCTGTTGAATAAACTGAGTATGGCGTTTTTAAAGAATTATCCACATCATGTAATGCCAGGTTACAACTTGAATAGATCACCATGTATTGAAGAATGGAATGAGGAAAATGTACAAGGGCTCTATCAAGATTTTCCATACAATTGTGACTTACCAAAGCCACTATTGCCACCGGCAAAATTATCGAGAACAGGTAATTGCGACAATGCTGATATGAGGTGAAATCTTTGTGAGTTTTGTTGGAACGTAACTTTATTCTTTTTGTTTATTTTTTTAGTGTACTTAACGGTATTTAATTTTAAAGCGCTTCTCAATTCGTTTATGGTTTTCAAAAGCATTTATTTTGTAGACTTTATAATATTGTAATTTTATTAAACATAATTAGAATTTTTTCCTTTAAATACTTTGCAGTGCTTAGTGAAGTAGATCCAGCCTTGCAACTCTTAACTTTGAAGAGCCATCTAAAGGATGACATAAATAGAATAATAAAATACTACGAGAAGCACAAGAAAGGTTATACATATATATATAAAAGATTTAATAACTTTTTTATATTTGATACTAAGTTGACGAAATGTATTCTAGAATTTAAAGTAGTACACAAAAAGAGCATAAAGTGGAAGAGAGGAAGTAACGGATATAGCGCAAATGTACCTAGATATATCGCAGACATAGCAGAATTGCTTGATATGGATCCGGATTCTTATTTTGAAGGGGTATGTTTAACAAATTGCATCTACTGTTGTTGCAAAATGCAGAAGAATAATAAATTCTATATTATATGACGACAGATCATCGTTAACTAATTATTGTTAAATATCTTTTTAGACTTACAACTGGTACTATACTGGTGGCTCGTTAAACTACGTTCAGCTAAATGGCTGGGATGTTCTACTCTTTCCATTTGTGGGAGATTTAGGTATATTAGAATATAGAACGTGCGTTCATGAATGTATATAATAATTTCTTGTGTTTTAATTCCTCCCTTTCTTATTTTATTAAAATATGTTCAGTTGCTGCACATATTGTACCAATGGAAGATTTCGTATGGAAGCCGTTGCTGCAAAATTCAGCTAAATGTAAATTACATGGATTGCTGTATGAAATTCGACAATGCAAAATTAGCAACACATGTATGTATTGATAATCTTATAATTTTTAAAAAAATATGAATAACAGCATATATAAAATACATATATATTTAAGTTTGTTGTTTGTATAATTGTCATTCATTTTCAGGTAGAATTTTAGGAAGGCATAAAGACCATTGTACTCTTTATACACTGTCCAATTTTGAGAATCACTTGTTGCTTAATGAGATTCACAAGCAAGCATCAAAAATACCATATGTGAGTGCGGATTTGAGTTTAACCAATACTAATTATCACTGTACACTGAATGTAGAAAGAATATTGTCCTTATGGGACATAAATAATGCGTAAGTATTTCTTTATATTTCAACTTTTTCCTATCAACCTGTTCTATTTTCTCAGCGTATCTTTTTTTGTTCCCAGGAATTATATTAGCAGTGGTTTTGTAGGACAAAACAACAGTACAACTCACACGCATGATGCTTGGGGATGCGTAAGATTCCAGGAAACTGATCCAAACGTTTTAATTTACGTGGACAGATGTTGCCTGCATTATCTTGATACTAGAGTAAGAGAAACTGACGAACTTTATATAAATCTATTTATTTTCTTACATTACAAATTTCACATATCAGTATTCCTTCCTACATTTAATAATAAGAATGTGTTTGCCATTTTTTATACATTAATAGTGCACTGGACTTTTTTACAGACTTCTCTTGATCGAGCATGTATCACGTTGTGTCCAAAATTTAATTTGGAAAATTGCGAAAGTTTATCGATAGAAGTACCGAGCAAACACAATTGTTGTCGATACTTGGGCACTTCTCATTCCTTTGTAATGTGCGATAATCGTTCGCCGAAGCAATGTGTACGACAAAAATGGACGCATCAGTTCAAGGATACTCCACTGTTAGCGGCAGTGACTAACAAGTAAATAATATCAAATAAGAATTTTAATTATAACAACTAATTGCCATTGTAATCACAATCATATCGCATATTTTTTACAGCGATGACAAGGAAATTATTATTCTATCAACTCAGAAAGCCGGCGAAAACACAATAATTTTGAACATGTGGATAAATGAGGAAGAGTCGCATTCTTTTAATCTGCCGTTTACGCCTCCACATATTGCAGAAACATTAAATAAATCTCAAACGCAAGGAATGTGTTTGAACCCGTATTTACGAAGCAGATTTGAATTGTGTAATGTTGGTAGCACATTAATCACAAATGTAACGAATGCAGGAGTATCTTTCTTTGTTCAAAACTCTATTGGTATAATTATATGATATTCTATCATAAAATATTTTATGTATCAACATCTTAGAATATATTATGCCTAAACACATACATATCTTTCTGATATTTCCAGGTGATATATTTTATCAATGCGTAACACATGAAAACGTATTGGACAAATATTCTCCCATAAATAGCAAAGCTTGTTATGCACTAGACATGTGGGAAAAAGCTTTATCAGCCCAAGCTGAGCAACTAGCGCCCTTATCTTTTACCGACAAGTGTAATATGCAATACATATATGAGAGTAAGGGAATATATATTTCAATTTTTTAATTTAAATATACTTTGAACTGAAAAGTAACACGAGTAATGAAAATATTTTTACAGATTTCACGAATAAAACGCTCGATCCACGTTTGAAGTCCGTTGAAGAGAATGCAGACGACGATTTTGAGCCAACTTGGAAGCAGTCGTTAGCTGCGTTGGGATCGTACATAGATCTATTAGCACCAGAACTTCTTGCAGTTTGGGATATGCGCGAAGAAGTACCCGTACCAGTAGTAGCAGGGTCACATCAGAAAGTTTGGAACTGGTTAGAAGCCTCGACCTCGAATTATCCTGTCACGCAATTGCAGGATGAACCCAAAGACATTCCTACACCTATTAATACTCAAGAATTAATTAGTGTGTCGCAAGAACACGATCTTATTTATATAGACGACAGCAATATGCTGCAAGAAATGCTGTTGCCGAAAGTTAAATCGACAGTTACCAAGAAGAAACGTATTTAATATGTGTAATAATTTATATGAATAGAAATATATAGATTTCAAATTTATATTTTTTTAAATATGTGTTAAAGTTATGTAATCACAGTATTAAACTTAATATGTGCCAAAGTTATGTAATGACAGTATTAAATTGTTATAAATAAATAAAATTAATTTTGGAACATTGTTTATTTTATTGTAATAAAAATCAAACGATAATCATTATGCATAATATCTGTTGCGATGAAATGATTGAATATGTAGTCAGTAGTGTAAATGATATACACATGTTTAAAATTTTCATGTAATTTTATTTTGACTAGCGGTTCCGGAAAGATGGTTTCCACCTCGAGATAAGCACTTTGTTGTCTTGTTGCTTATTTTGTTCTTCCTCCATTTGCATCTGCCAATAATCATCATAATAATATAACATCAAATATTCGATTAAACATTTCTACATTTTATAACTTACCAGAAATTTTCGTCGATTTTCTTTAAACATTTCCAATGGATTATCAAATTGTCTATAATAATTCAGTACGTCTCGCACATCTTGCACATTTGATGTTAATATCGCTATGGAAGAAAATTAAATTTTTGTTATCATTCAATAGAGATTAGAAACATTATTGATATTTATAACTTAAAAATGTATGATAGCAATAATGCTAGAAAATTTTGAAGGTAAATAATTGGATGATTAATCTTACTTTTGAGGAATGCCGCCAAGTCATACAATGTAGTGTCGTCATCGTTACCCTTCCATCGAGGAAGTTTAAATGCATTTTCTGGATTTAACTTCACGCTCTCTTCATTCCAATCAATAACAATAACCTGTAATCATAATGATATAGTAATAATTGTAAAAACTCTTTACAAATATAATAAAAAGAAAAAATGCGATAACAGTTACTTTACTAGGATCACGATTGAGAGCTCCTAGATCTTTAACATGATGTCCGTCCACAAAACGTGTAGCATCTCTAACTAATCTGTACATTATGTATCCATTTGGATCGAGTGCATCCAAAATAGGGAATACTGTCTGTAATTGAAATAGACGGATATTATATTTTCTTACACGTATAAATCTTATTTTTATCAAATGCATTCAAAATAAAATGGAATTTAAAAAAATTGAAGACTACAATTATACCATACCATTCCTTGTTCAGCCGTGTAAATTACAATCTCAAATTGTGGTGGGGCAACTGCTTCTAAAAACTGGTCCACTCCAGGTCGCTTTTTAAATCTCCATCCAGTCTGATACTACAAATAAAACATTGTATTCACATATAATATCAAGTATTAAACTAATGTTTATTGTTAGTTTTATATAATAAATATAATCAATATAATAAATGTTATGTATTCATGTTCTATTATACATAGACTGTATTAGAAAGAGAAACTATGAATATTCAAAAAATAATTTTATATTTTCCAAATTTTATAATTTCTATATTTCTGTAAATTATAATTCTATAAATTCTATATTTCTAGATCCTATATTTCAAATAATAATTCTAGATTACATATATGTGACATTGTTCTCTCATAAGGAATGCATCACATATATACATACATACACACATAACTGTATTAGTAAAGTATGAATAACAAAAAAATAATTTTACATTCCAAATTTTATAAAGTTCTATTATTTCTATAAATTCTATATTTTTAGATCATATATTGCAAATGTAAAATTATTTTTTAAATATTCGTAGTTCATCTTTCTAATACAGTATATATATATATATATAAAACTCAAGAGATTAAATACTTACTGTCCAATCTGGATGCACAAGGAGATCTGTGAATTCCAAAACTAGAGTATATGGTGGCTGAATATATGGATGTTTCAATGGATCAGGTAACAACTTTTCCCTACTGGGTTCCTGTACTAACTGTAAACACAATAAAAATCATAAGATATATCATCTGATATGTAACTCACATGCTAAATAATTCTGAAGTTAAAAATACTATGCATGAAGCATTCAACATAGAAGACTACACTTATTTTACACAGCTTTTCGTGTATCGCCTTATTACACTTCACTTGATATAATAAAGCAATATACACATATGTTACAAGTATAGATACAGTTAATAATAAAAGTGTCGTACTCTTGTGTAATAATTAAGCTCTCTCTTGACCCTCTTGTAGATCTGTTCAAAGAACGGCAAATTGGAAAATTCATCCTCGATGACATTCCCATGTTCGTCATAGTTAGGTCTTCCTAATTCGTATACTAAATAAGTGAAGCCAATGCCCATAAACACACCAAACGCTGCAAACCCATAGTTCATCATTCTCTTCGACCTTTCACGATTCGCCTTCTCTTCTTCATCCTCCTTTTGTTGTTCACTCTGCTTCTTGGGAGCTGCCGCTTCCTGTCCCAATGTGTCAGCTTCGTTTATCGACGACTGTATGTTAGTTAAGTTACTAGTGATTTTCGGACGATCCGTTGCTGAAGACAAAACAAAAAATTTCACACATAAAATAAACACACATCCCACACTTTTAAATATACATATATATGGAGATAACAAGCCTATTCACCCCGTCAAAGCGAGGGCCTAATATCATTTTTAATTGGCATGTGCAATATGGATTACATTCGAGATGCAAGAATAATCAATTAAAATTGACAGTTCCACTTGTTCACGTAAATTTTTATTAAATATCGATATTATTTATTTCCGTCCTCGGTGACGACACGTGTGATCTGCGATTAAAATGATTCTAATAGCAAGAAAGGAGTCCCATGCTTTCAGATGGAGGTTATGGTCGTGCTCACTTTCGGTACTGTAGCGATATTTTTGCGCTGATTGAACGAACGTTATTCGGCCGATGGGTCGCCGGAGGGTACAATACGTCGTCCCCGCGGTCGCATTATATATTTTACACAAAACTCGCAGATTCCGCATCGCAAAGGCCATTCTTTGAAGATACCATGGGCAGCGGCGGAGAGAAGCATGAGAGCGGCTATATGCCCACGCGCACTAACGCCCTCTGAAAAAGTGGATGTAAACTACATAGCAACATCCATTTTTTTGCATCGCGGGTATATACAATATGTGGTGCAAGCTTTGAGTATATAGACATGGAGGGGGAATGTTGGCTCGAAAACTGTGTCCAAGATGTGTGCGAGAGAGAAAGGTATCTATATACTCAAAGGGTGCAAGTCCGTGCTACATCCACTTTCCGAGACTGCTGCAGCAGGGGCTTTATTCTCTAAAAAATTGCACATTCGAAAATCATGTCATCTCTCAGATTACGGATATTTCCGGTGAGTAGCACAGTCTTCGACTTTATTTCGTGTCATGTATATAGTTTAAGATCTATTCCATGCTATATGTGCATTGAAATTAACTTTGGTTTAGTAACTAATTAATCGCGTCTATCCCGATTTTTTCACCGCAGCCGTTTCGAAGAACAATCATGGGATGCGCTATCTTTAAAAAGTTTATTGATATTAAATTTTATTAACGTTACGTTCATTATGTTTTACGATCTGTGAAATATTTGTAAAGTTTATTATCTGACAACCATGTGGCAAATATTTAAAATACCGTTTCAAATATCGCAATTATCTACGGTTGCGCCATGCCTCGCGGGAAATTGCGAGGCACGCGATTAACGAGATAATTGCCCGCTAATCAGAACTGGAGTAAAAATCAAATGCAGGTATTGCACTATTGTGTTGACAAGTTACACATTTGCCGGAAGGCTTCCGTATTCTACGTCGTAACAATATGTCGTTATTGTAAGATACTGACCGGATCTTGAGCCAAGCCGGTGCGAGTAATTTTCCAAATAACACGGGTCTCGCGATCGATTGATCGCTCGTGATTCAATGCATCGGTCACGCGGTTCGGAAGGGCTGACATTATCTTCTGAAACGGAAATTGTGCATTCTGCCACCCGCAATAGGTTTCGCCAATTTCCTCGTACAACCATTGACGCAATAACGCAATTTATTTGTCACCTGGAGCGATGCTCGGCGGGACAGAATAAAATAAATGTAGAAGTGAAAGCTTATAGCGCTTATAGCATCAAATTAAGAAAAAAGTATATTAGTTCCTCTTAGAAGCTATTATCGATTTACATATATTATAGTTTTACGGTTGCTCCGTGTGCTATTGCAGTTTCTATCGGTGATTTCATTTCGATAAGATGCAAGATTATATTCTTCCGAGAAAGGAAAATAATTATGCTCTATTTAATATTAGAGAAGCACAGCACTTTTCAAGGAGTGGGCCGTTTCTCCGTTTTGCCGTTCATTAATTCGCGATAGCGATCGAGGCGCGCAATATTTTAGGACAACCGCGGAAAGCGACTATACGTACGATAGGCGAGTCCATTAAAAAATGCTTGTTAGAGAGTATTAGCGTCGCTTCGACGCGAGCCAGATCGCGACGTAAGATCACGATTAAAAGGCATTTACCAGACACGGCGGATTAAGAGTGACGCACGGCCCGACCGTTACCTCGTTAAAAGCGCGGAATTACACGCTGGAATTATGCGTAAATCTGTCCGTGATAGCCGCCTTTAAACATCGGCGCCGGTGGCACCCGACTACATAATTCACCGGGCAAGTCGCAGTGAGTTCCTGAACCTTAATCTTTATGAGGGAGTTGCGAATTAATAATAGATGCGTGTGGGGGAGGGTGAAAGGTGGGGCGGGATGGGGGAAAAGATAGGGTAAAGGGTAGGGGATTAATTTATGCGATTCACGATTGCGTGTTTCGCTTCAGCATTATTCTAATATCAATTGATTTGATTTCGCTTTAGTCGTCTATTAGCATTCGATAGCATACACATTCGATTGTATCAATCTTTTAAATTATCTTCTTATGTTATAACTCAAAGGGTCTCTTTTTAATAGACTTTTTAATAAACTTATCTATTTTGTCTGTACGAGAATCTTCAACTCATAATAGAATATATCTTTACACTCATATCTCTTCCCTTAGAAAATTAATTTACACTGTATCTTACAGTATATATCTTGCTTACTTATTATTTTAGATTTTCTAAAATGATTGTAGAATTATTTTCCAATGCAGAGGTATTAAAATCTTACCAACAAAAACTAATAAACTTTATATTATACATGTGAAGTCCTGCAGTTAAGTAAATTTCGTATAAATAAATCTTTTTGTTTCAATTAAAACAAGCGATTTATCTTAATTGAAAATAATAGTTATCCGAAGTTCCTCAAACATTTAGATAAGAATACAATCAGCAAATTTCTGTTTTCTAAATTGTCTGATTAAGATTAGGATGAGGGGGACCTTCTCATTTTGTCGATGGATATCATAAGCGTATCCCTTACGCGGATGATGATAGAAGAACAGGTCCGGTAGCGGTATTTAAAAAGCTAGAAGGGGACGGACTAGCGATAACACGCTAACCACAGTGTACCGTCGCATTAGCGATAACGTAAAATTACTAGCAGGCATGATTCCCGTGAATCGCGGGGTCTCAACGAGTAACCGCTGGGTTTTATTGAAAGGCGATCGTTGCTCTGGGGTTCCCGCCGTGGAAAGAAGAGCCTTTTTTAAGCGATTGGATCGTGGAAAGAATTCTTTCGCGGTGTATTCCGCACAAAGCGTCGTACCAATTAATTATAATGCTATACATTACGCATCGCGATGTGCAGCATTCGAAGAGTACCATTTAGAAATTCCCACGACGTTTATGACTACATTTTCGCGCGGCAGAGACTTCGTGCCACAGAGACCTTATTCTGCCACGATCAATGATCGGAATGAAGATGTATCGCTGTCGCGCGAGTCGAGACTCGGCCACGAGAACGACGCAGATATACGAGTGAGATCTCAATTGCGCGCTCTTCGTTATCTAGTATTTATTAAATATTTATTTACGCATAATTTTATACTTATGTTCCCGCGGTTAATGCCGTTGCGCGCTCTTGCAAGAGACATTCGTCATTTAATGTTAGCGTTTAATGTTAGCATGTAAACGTCTAGCGAAGCAAATATACATACATTAAATGCCACTAAATTAATATGTATCTGTATTTAGTGCAAATAAGAAACGTCAATTAGATAAACTTACACGAAAAGGACGATTTTGTTGAAAGATCTGAAAATTTTGCTAAAAACAGATCTGAAAATAATTTTTTGTTGAATCATCAAAATAATTTGTTGGAATGTTAAAACTGATAAGTATTGTTATAATACGTTTTGATATTTTAGCAATCACTTTGACTTTTACACAAAATTATTTTGATTATTGACAAAAATTATTTTCAGATCTGGATTCAGCAAAATTGTTCTTTCCGTGTATTTATTGTATGCTACTTCTGCAATTTATATTGTACATTAGTAAATTTTTTTCGCACTGAAGTTATCAGACGGATTATTCACATCGTATAAGCCTTTAGCAACGTTTGTATTACAACACCGCCTAATGTATAGATTTTTTAACTGTGAATATCGTAAATATAGGTGCAGCTGTACGAGTGAGAGTTTCGCGGTTAATGGCAAATAACATTTTAAGAAAAACTCGATTAAGGTTTCTCGGCGCTGATTTATGGCATCATTATACTATACGTTGAGATTCTACGGAGAAACGAATCCGAGCGATATCGGGATATCGCGTACGTGGTGCACATTTCCATAGTGTTTAAAAAGCCATTTAACGCGACGTAGGTATTATACCTAAGAATTGATCGTAATAGTTGCGAAATCACGTTCCCGCCGTTAAGCCGGCCGTAATAATTTGCGCAAAAATTTTGCTCTTCTCACCAATTATTACGTAACAGAGTGCACGCGGGCGTGTATAGATCAGCGCCTAATATTAAATCGTTGCTCATTGCGCGGCGGTGTGAAGCGGATTTTGCCGATAACTTATGAATGCACCAGATGCCATTAGCGTGAATGAATTGCGCGTTTATTTCCGCGCGTTAATAAATAACAGTCTCCCCGGGTGTCTCGCAAAAATTAGAGCAACCGCGTGACGGGTCCATGTATTTCTCAAAGAATTGCATAATGCGAGGTCGAGGAGATTTGGTCGTGTATAGGGCTACATAGAACGCAGCGTGTCACGGTTACCGAGTCTAATTAATGGCGCAGAAAGTGTGATTTTAGGCATAAAATACGCATCTGCTGCTCAAAATAACGATTCTTGCTGAAACGACGGTGATCCGCGAGCTGCCGTATCGCATCGAGTCGACGAAAGCTCGCGTTCGCAAGGCATCAAAGCGTTTGCAGGCACGTTGTTTGATGCTGAAAGCACACACACCGATCGTTATCGCCTGAATCGACCAATTATGACGCAACGTTAATGATCCCGATGAATGGTGTCATCGAGTCAATGACACTGCGAGCGGCAAAAAAGCAGGTAGCTATACGAGTAGTGCAATTAGCTCCACTTGCCATGCTATAATCACCGTATTACATCGAATCGTTGCGTGGCATTTGAATGCGTCGAGAGAGGATCTGATAAATATTTAAATCTTGTTAATTAACGCCATATTACACAGGGATAACTATAATCAAGTAGTTTAAACAGATACTTTACCATAATCGCTATTGCTTGTAACAAAATACTAGCCACACCGTTCCTTTCTCTGATGATTTTTTTATCGAAATATTTTTCAAACATTCTGGAATGTATTATATACACATTTTTTTTATATAAATATGTTATTTTGAGTATAAATATGTTGTCTAAATATAATAAACTTTATAGATATTTATAACCACGGTTTAATGTAAAATAATTTAGAACATATGTATATTTTACATGTATTATTTTACATAAAGCGAGTGCTTGTAAGACATGCTATTAACACTGTTAATTCTTACTTTCCCAGTGATAATTTGACATCGAATTGACGGTCTTTTCTCACTGGTTTACGTCCCAATTTGAAGAATTTATTCAAATTAAAATAAAATATTAAACTTTGATTTTACCGTAATTTCAAATTCTCTGTGTCTATTTACACTCTGCTGCCTATACGGGTTCTCGCAAGACAGTGGTCGTTACCTTGCAGAAGAATGTTCTGTTAGCGCATGAAAAATTATTTCTTATACTTTGACGGTGCGATCGAGAGGGTGACCTGGTATATTTATTTATAATCCGAACGGAGCGGAGGCTGATGAACAACGATGATACAAGAAGCAAGATGCACTCCTTGCTCTAGGAACGCAGCAATTTAACGATATCAGCCGACAGACCGACGCGGCTAATTCTATCTACGTAGCGCCACTCGATAATTTACTCGTGGAAATGCATTAGATCGCCACCGGGGCGACCGCTAATTACAGGCTGCCTTGTATACGAACGCATCTAGGCTATATGAAACGAGATGTTAAACCACTCCGGCGAAAGTCACCCATCGGTTATCAATGTCAGTTCGCTGCCATCGCTTCCTCCTAAAACTTCCGTTGAAAGTACGCAATAGGTTCTCACAATTAATTTCTCCAACATCTGAATTTACAAAATGATTTATGCAGATTTATGCAGATTCAATGTAGATCGGTGTTTCCTAATTTTTCAAAGAAACATTTTCACGAATATGTCGGTATTTATACGCAAATGTATTCGTATCTAAAATAAGAAGATATAAAAATTTATTTTTTACAAGATTCTCTAATAATGAATATTTAGCCAATCATAAATCATATTGATGCCTCGCAGCAGCGAGATTTGATGTACGACCGGTTGTACGATGCACTAGGAACATTCTTCGTTTGTTCTCTTTCAGTGCAGCAGAGACGCTAGATCAGGTCTCACCTTCGTCCTTCGTCATATATTTGTTCGAAATCTCGTCATCATTGTTTTTAGCCGATGTTTTCCAAGAAAAATAAGAAAGAAATCTAAATTAAATAACTTTGCTTATTATAATATTACGTAATGCTATAAATCATACATCTATTTAATTATCTCAATTTTATCAAATGCTTCAAAATTTCTTTCTGTACATATTCTAAATAGTAAAAAAGTTTAATTTGTCTTTTTTTTTGTTTTTAAAATCAAAATTTTCAAGATTTATAAATAACAAAAATTTTTATTTATCAATTTACCGTAGATTTTAAATAATTAAAAGTATAACAATTTTACTGTAAACAAATCTTTTAGGCTTAGAAAAATCTTTATCGGATATTTTGGGAAAACGTGATTTAAATAAAATTTTTATTAAAAAGTTAATTAATTGAGCTCATAAATAAATAAATAAATAAAAATTATAAATGAAAAGAGATAATACTTGATCTGTAAGTATCGATATAGGACGCTACTTCTTTTTAATTCACGGAATTCACGGCCGTTCTCCAATTGCACCAATAAACGTGACAGATCTATCAATTAATTTCCGTCAGATTCTCCCGCTATGTTATTTAAAGATTTGCGTCACGAAGTGAAGAAAAGTGCATTTGCATCTATTAAAATAACGTCTTCATACTTCGTTGCCAGGTGACGCGCCGTGGCGGAGGCGCCCAAAGCTCGGTTCCGCGACTTCACGCGGGCGGTATAAAATCGGTCCTCCACCGACGGGAGCCGTCAGTACGAGACAACACCTCTGACAGAGAAACTCGGCTCTCGAATCTGCTCACTAGTCTGCAACATGCATCTCTCGCTGTACTGTACACACGTTTAGGTTTACACACGAGATAATATTTAAAAAAAAGGAACAAAATTGTCGGGGAAAACTGCGCTAAAAAATTCCCATGCAGCCATCCCACAGAGATATTTTGCGATTGTAATATTAATTGATAAACGCCTATTTCGATTTGTCAATCGGTAGCGTCGGTGAACCGACCAGCTGGACTAATTGGCGATAAGTCTATTAGCTTACGAACCGAACATTACGCGTTCGGGATAATTGTGTAATTACAGTGCGATCAATCGAGATGAATCTCTTCGATGTGATAATAATTTACTCTGCAAATTTGCAAACGAAATACGTATTATGTGATCAATATGTGAGTTGATATTATAGCCATCGTGTCTGGTTAGTGTGTTTAATCAACAGTTTCACGGTCCGAACTCGGTGCAACAGGTCAGTCAAGTAGTCAGGATTTAACGTAATTTTTAATCAAATCCAAACGTATAAAATGTAATTGTCTCCTAATATTAAATTTAAGTAAAATTAACAATGATATTTTTAAAAAATTATATATGCATAAAAATATTTAATTTTTTAATGTAGAATTATAACAATGTAAAATGCACACAGAAAGAATGATTTTGTTGAAAGACCTAAAAATTTTGCTAAAAACAGATCTAAAAATAATTTTTTATTGAATCATTAAAATAATTTGTTGGAAAAACTAATAAGTATAAGTTAAAACTAATAAGTATTGCAATAAAATTTTGATATTCTACTAGCAATCATTTTGACTTTCGCACAAAAAATTTTGACTATTGAACAAAAATTATTTTCAGATCTGGATTCAATAAAATTGTTCTTTCCGTGCACTTTAAATGGAGTATTTCAGCAAATAACAATTAATATTAAGTTTTTTATAAATCTATTTAAACAACAATAATTATATTTTAATAAATTATGTAAATGTTACAATAACGCATAAAAATACCTTAGACGTTTTTATGACAGTTAGTTGGAAAAAGTTTATTTGCATTTAATTTGATAATTACAACATAAATAATACGCTTAGTTCCGTTCTTGTCATTATCATAGCCGTATAATTGCGAACATAGCCGGGATAACGAAGCCGCGATCGAACATATGCAACGTGCAAATCCGTGATTAGTTACATTCTACTCGGTCGAAAATGACTCCTTGTTCGCAGGTTTGTTCACAGGTTCGCCTTTTGCAAACGTATATTAATAGTGTGCGGTAGATGCTGACGGGGTTCGATAATCGTAAAAATAAACGGTACACCGCGACTTGCGTAAGATTCCCTCAAATGCTCCATCTCGCCGCGATGCGACGTGTTTTCTCTGCAATAAAGTAAGACTCCTAATAAACAGTGGCCCGATAGAAAACACACACACGGGAACGCAGGCAAATAATTTTTCAACCCATAACAAGGGCTCTTACATATGTATGTACATACGTTGAATGACCGCACGATATTTTCAGCATGCATGTGAAAATTCTCGTAAAAGCATAACTAATTTGCTCGTGGCGATAATATTTGTATTGCGCATAATTATAAAAATTAATGTAAGCGCTTATTAATACAAAAGTAAAATTTTTTAAATAATTATATTTGTGGGATAAATTTCTGATAGAAGAGGTAAATTTGTCGTGTGTGCAAAATATTCATAAGTAATTATCATTTTTAACTCTTTGCTACATAAATTATGAAGTAATAGCAGTAAAATGCTGGAAAAGCGGACTCTGTCAATGCAGTTGTTCCACAGATTGCGCGACATTTTAATACATAAAATTACCAATTTTATCTAGACTAAATAACTAGTTTCAGCTTGAGAGATGGAAACTACACGCTTTGCTAAAAAAAGTTAATAAAATTATCATGCAGGCGCAATTTATTCGCACGGCAGGCGTGCACGGTGCAATCGAGGTGCACTCGAGCCAGCAATAATTGTAAGCTTAATGAGCAATTCGTATGCGATTTAATGATCGTATATCACGCGGGCTAATTTACATCAATCCGCGTATTTGTACACTACTTTTAAGTAACGCGCGCCGCAATCCCGTTTTGAGCGTCAAATAATAATGTCGACAATCTTTCTCGACATTGTGGAACATGTTCGTCAGTCCAACGCGCGTTCGGGCTTGCGCGACAGTTCGCCGGTGCAGTGACATTATCGCGACAAACTATCGCATTTCAGGATATGCAGCGGACGGTCACCGCGCAGAAATGCTCACCGTTCGCGCGTTCTGTTCCTACAAAAATTCTCCGGTACCTCGAACCGCGGCGGCGCGGCGCGCGCTCGACTGCGGCAAATTTATCGTACCCCGATTATGCAAGCGCACTCGTATAATTGGCGACGCGACTTCGCGCGGCCTTTGTCGGCGATTTATCTCGCAACGCGCATGCAGTATATAGATTTGCACGGGGGGCAGGCTTTCTCATTTGTAAACGATCGAACTTTACTTTGTAATCTGTAGTCCGCGTGTCTGAAATACTCGATTCGTTATATTCTTTCCTGATTGATTTCAATGACAAAATATCACGTGAATCGACACTTGTTCCTCGAGATGAGCGAAAGAAATATCTGAAATTCGATGGCAGAAAATTTAAGGGTACAATCTTAATTTCAATTTTAACGTATCGAGATATAATAATGTAACATGTCGAATCTCTCTGGTACACGTGTAATCGGCGAATAATTCTAGCTTCGGGCCACTCCACCTTCGACAGGTCGACGTACGGGTAATATAGGTTCTTGTCTAACGCTCACTAGCAACTGGAGCATGAAAGCATTATATGTGCACATGCACTCACATGCACGCCAACCGATGACTTCTCTAATATCCAATTTCCTTCGTCTCGGTTAGCTTCTCCAGCGACACGCAACAACATTTGGTTTTGAATGTCAAACGTCATTTAAGCGGAATGATAATTAATTCGCTGGCTATTAATTAAATAAACAGCAAGTCGTATTATTTTATTATTAAATATCATAATCTATTGCCCTTCAATAATATCTATAATTTTACTAAAGTATTTATAAAGTTTTAAATTTTTATTAGAATAAAATATATTTCTAATCGTGTAAATTTGTAATATTAAATATCTTTGTTTAAAATAAAAAATATTAATAGATATTTACATCTCATTTTTAATTTATATATAATATGTTTATATTTTTAAAATTGTAATTTTACTGTAAAACTTTGGACTTTATTTTTATAAAAGAAGCTGATGAAAAAGATACAAATAGGAAAATAATTGTGGACAAATTCGAGATTCGTGTGATAAACCCGTTATTTAATTGACACTTTATCAAGCAATATCATTTAACGGAACGGTGAATTTGCTAGGGTTCAATCAAGCTCTCGTAAAATTGCGGATCGTCGGCACTTTATAGAGACGATGATGTAATTGCATTCCACGCGATTGGTGCCGATGTTCGTAAGGTTTTATCTCTGGAATGTTACAATGATAATATTCTTATCGTCACTATTCGCGAAACATTACGGAAATAACTTACAGATTTGATCATATCGCGAATTCCGTGATAATTGCATAAACAAGATACAACAAAGTTCATTGCGTTGATTTATTTACTTAAAGAAATTCAAATTATTTCAGATTTTTTATTATTATATTCTAAAGTAATATCGTTTTTATATTTTACTTTTCAGAATTAATTAAAACAAAAGATTAAGAAAATCTAAGAAAGAACTTAATGTTTTATTTGAATTATCATAAATTTTAGTATGAGACAGATTTAATTATATTTAATATTAGAATAATGCATGATATTATTTTAAATATGTATGATATTATTCTAAATATAATATTAAAAGATTTAACTTTAATTTAATATTTTAATAAAGGGACAATTTTTTTCACAACTTTGTTTGCTGAACACTTCTAGTCAACGAGAAATCTATCGATATTTCATCGAGCAGCATTTAAAATAGTGAAAAATGACATAAAATCAGAACGTGCAGTGCGGAAAGAAAAGTGTGCACCGTCCCACCGGAAGCTGCAGCGAGATGCGTTGACAGTGAGGCCGCAAGAGCGCAAAATCCGTCAAGATGCACCCACTCGTCCTTCCCTTTTTGCTGCTATCTTTAACGGTAAGGCATAAGCGCAACGCGACTAATATATATTGACGTGTGATTTACCGCACCATTAAGGCGGCCGTCCGCCTGCAGCCTCAATGTCAAACTCGTATATCAAACGTGGGCGAAATTGTTCGTAAATATGTTCCGGCACATGTCACGTGCCGCTAGTCTCGATCATTGATCGCATAATTTCTTCTTAGAAACGGAAAGGTAATGGATGAAAACTTTTACGTCACAATTTATGGAAATCTTGACTTTCGTCGATATGCGAAATGGTGAAATTCTCTAATAAATGTGTTCATACTGGACTGGAAACGAAGATAAAGAACGTGAAAGATACTCATGTCATTATATGTCATCGAGACTTTAACAAATTTTATTGTCGCATATATTTTTGTGTGTGATAAACTAAATATATATTTACTTTATTGTATTGTATATACTATAATGCTATATTAATATAAATATAAAGTCTTATTTTTAATATTCTCTTATTAATAATCAGTTTTGACAATTATGTTAATTAAAATGCTTTGTCAGAAACAATGTGTAATATTTATAATCCATCCAAACTTCACATAAATGAGTTGACAGAAATTTCTTAGAATTTATATCTTTTAAAAATAATTATCTCCTATATTCATTGATCTTAGAGGTAGATTAAATCAAACTATTTCGATATCTGTTCTCCTTCGTTAGTTCACGATGATGCTTTTTCGTTGATGATGAGACCCTCTCGCCGACGATGGCTTGGTCTCTACGAGATGATAAAAAAGTGTTACACAGCAACAGAGAGTCTTCTCACGATGATAAGAATTTCTAATAAAAGAGCGAAGCTTTATCTACATATGCGGTGGAAATTCTCCTAAAATACATGCATATATTTTAGACGAAGGTTAATGCACCGGCACGTAGTTGATGTTATTGGACATGCCAATTAGAATGTAAATTTCGGGGAAATTTCTAAAGCAGATTTATATATAAAGCGAATAACATTGAATATTAAATTAAATGAAATAAAAAGCAAGAATATATAATAAAAAAGCTTTTTTATTATATAATTGAAATTTTAATAATAATATTCTATAAATTAAAAATTTTAAGAAATTGATCAAATTATGTCTTATCAAACTTTTAACACAATGTAAATATTCTTCTAATTTTATAATTTATATTTTAAATGTTTTAAAAAATATACGATGGGAAAAATTTTGATTGTTTTATAGATTCCAGGTTCAGATCAAAGTTTTATATATATACATATTAATTAACCATATTTGTGTCGGTGAAAAACACAGTCAAGCGTGATAAGAGCAACTTTGAGAAAGAGAAAAATACTGCTTTGTTTTGTAAAAATGACGGAAGTATCACAAAATACTTATAGCAGGATGTTAATTGGAACAAACGATCAGCCTTGTACACTAACGTCATCATAATATTATCCTAACCGGACCGACTGGCTGAAACGATGTTCTATTAGCATAATTCAAGCGCCTAATTATGGACAATTTAAGGACGTGCGAGGATCTTGCCGCGTGTAAATGAGCGGCGACACGCGGAGACGTGTCGGAATTAATTGAACTTCCAGGTGATCCAATATTCGCACAGTCGGGTTTCAGTATCTGTAAATTATGCCTGCGTAATCCGAAGTAACGTTGAATGTTGAGTAGGAAGTCTCGCTTAACACATTCCTGTGGCAAAGTGTTGCCGGTGGTGAGTATTTTTAGAATAGCAGAATAATATAATCAGAGCAGAATGTGCAACTTCCTGCCACATGATCCAAAATTGAATCGCGATTCTCAGTTGCTACAAATTCTTTTTTTTTTCGACCGGCCGTAAATTTCTTAATTTCTATAAATACTTCTCTCTCTCGAGAGAGAGTGAGAGAGCGCGAGGATTAATGTTTTTATTTTATTCGCGCAGAAACTCTTGCCTCTTTTCACACATGTGACAAAGAATTCTTTTCTAAGCTCCAAGTTCTTTGTCTCTTTAATGTGAGAAAGTTTATGTTAAAAGTTAAAAATAATGGTAATTTTTTGTCTTTCAATCTTATCTAATTTCATAATCAATTGCTTTTTTGTATCACTGTTCTATGCGGTCGCAAGATGAAAATTATAAAATGAATACGCAGAAACATTAAAATATACGGCAAGCAAGATTTGTAGGGTGCTGACATTTTCATGACAAACCGCTTCATTTTTTACGTCCGGTCGTATCGCAGTTTTCATTCACTTGAATGTATTTGACGTGTTTATGTGACGCCTATTTGTCTTCATTATTTTGGCAGCACGGCGCCAGAGGTTCACGCCGACCCCCGCGTTTGTCCCCAAAATCGCGACGACGTCTTTATTTTCTGTATATCCGTTTCGTTTAATGGCTCGTGGAGATTTCTTCGGATCGCGAGTGGAGCCGAATTTATTTGGCTGGTACCGAGAAGACACGGACTTTCGCCGGCGAATCTCTTCGTTGTCGTCTTTTTGTCCTCGTCAAAAGATTTTATATATTGGACGCTTAAGTGCTTGTAGTTTACAACCTTCATTAATTGTGTAAAAGGAGAATAAATGGCAAGCTCCATTATTCAAAGCATTCTTTGATAAATTGTTGAAATCTTCGTGACACTCGCGGAAGAGTAGGTACATAGCGTAAGTACATTGTCGTAAATAACGGTGAATTTATTTTGGCTTAAAAGGGGTGCAACAAGCATAAAATAATGTGTTATGCAAGAGATTTGCATCATGTTTCAGAAATAGTTGCTGAAATAATACGTTAAGATTAAAATATGATTCCTAAATGTCTAACTATATACATATATACGTTTCGCTAATTATTTATCGCGTTTTACTTAAATATCAAAAAAGTAACATGATTTCTTCAATTGTGTTTTATTATTACATTAGCAATATATTTGTTAAACGAAGTTAAAGAACAAAAGAATCTAGAAGAGCACTTTGTTAAAAGAATTTTGACGTTTTATCAAATGGCGGACCTATAAAAAGAACATCGCGATTCATCGTGCAGCAGGTTTGTCATTATGCGCCGCATTTAGGGCGATGGAGATTTAACGGCTTGAGTGGCCACGAAAATAACACACCGAAAATAAGCGCTAAGCAGAGATTCGATGCTAGGTATCATCGCGAGACGATCGGCTCGACGCCGTCGATCTTGATTATTGTGAAAAGGAAAACGCACCGCAACGCGCTGTCTCAGGTTTGTTCTACTTCACTCTCGATGGTGACATTATACTCATAATAGTTTAAGCTGATGCGTAGAAATCAGACGACGTGCAGAACACTCTTCTAACTCGTGTTTCCATATGCTGTAATGCTACTCGTGAATACATACTGAAATATGAGATAAATATAATTTACATAATTTTTTTTTCATACTTCGATAAATAATAAAAAATTAATTAAATTATACAGAGTTGTATTAATTGCGTTTTCACCTGTTGTCCAAATTAATGAAATGTTAAGTTGATTGAACGCACGAATCGTATAACCCGAGGCGGTTAATTAAAAACGACTGGGACGATTTGTGAGCGACGTAATCTCGGAGAACCGAGAAAATTATTTTAGCCGTTCACAAAGAAAATGGTTCTCTCTTAATCGCGCGTTCATGCGTTACTCGGTGATATGCAGAGTGTACACACGCCCGTATTTTATCGCTATGTAAACACCTAATGTGGCCGAGCTTATACGAGCAGATACACACATGCAAGCTCGACAAAATTATGGCTCGTTCGTTATTATTTATGATGTATGATGCGATCCAATAAATTGTAATATTACGTCAAAATTATTTTATGCAATACCTTTGCGCAATCGCCTCTCTATACTGAAACGAATATTCTTATCAACGAAAACGTTCCAAAAATGAATCTACAGTTTAATGAATTATTTCCCTAGATTTAATCAGATCTAATAACGTTCAAAGTAGGTCTAATATATTGTTATTTATAAGTATATTTTTATTTAGATTATTTGCTAAAAAATTATTAAATATCTTTTTTAAAAACGAATATCGAAAGATTTAATTTACTTTTTTTCAAACGAATATTATTCCAAAAAAATAATTTTAAATTGCAATGTGGTTAATAATACTTAGATTATATTTTGTTTATAACTATTGTAAAAACAGAAATTTAACAATATACAGATCTTAGAAAAGAGCTATACATTAAAAAATTTGTCCTCGTCATTTGAGAAATTATTTTATGTATCTTTTATATAACAGTCAGACTTTGAAATCAATGAGATATTTATATGCCATTTCTTTGTATCGTTCTTTCAATAGAGAATGGAATATTTCCCTCTTACATTCCAACTCTTACATATAGTTGATTTGAACATTGAACATTCTACGCCACTGTATGCATTCATTGTTCGCCGCCGATTTATAAATTCACTCATGCGATATTCATACAATTAACATCGTGCGATCTCGCGTATACAAACGGCAAGCAAGTTGACATTCATCCCGAGTTAATCCAATTGGAGAGAGGAGTGTCAGTTTGGGCGCGGCTTGATGTGCAGTTCGCCGATTAAACCCTGGTTGAAAATGAACGGTCAGCCTCAATCGAGCACCGTCACTCTTTCAAAATGATCCCCGACGTGTAAAACGACGAATTATGCCGTATTTCATATAGCAAGCAGAGACTACATTGCCAAAGAAATTCGAGTGAATTAAATCGACTTCCTTAAGAATTTTTATTATTTAGTTTTAATTTACTAGTAATATAAACCTTATTAATATGTCCAATAGATTGTAATACATATATTGTAATTCATAAACTTTATATAATTTATGAGATTACACAAGAGAGTAATATGGATTTCGATTTAGCCTAGTCAAAATAAAAATACTATAAATTTACTAAATATTTTTACTAAATATTATATAAATGTTTACGTTCAATTCTCATTTATTATTAAAAATTATTATACGTTTTAATTTGAGAAACGTTGATTAAATTAATTCATTGCAATCCATTCGACGCGCGCGTTACATACTTCACATTTACCGAAACAGAAATTATTTTATATTAAATCTTTTAACAAAAACTTTCGTTAAAAAGAACTTAGAACATGTATTGTCAGAAAATTAACAAGGTCACTTAGTGATATCAGAGCAGCGCGAGTGATTCGTAGGAGCAAGAGAGATGATTTATTGCTGCAGATACTGGCAAGAGCTGATGGAAGGAGCTCGCGCGGTATAGATTAGAGAAGCGAGAGACTTCATTTTTTCTCTCTTATACACCGGTATACGTGCCACAGCCGGGCCACGTGGCACGTACAGCGTGATAATACTTTGATCGCGATTCAGGTTAAATCGCGCATCTTACATCTCCGAACTACCGTTTAATCCTTTAATTAACCTTGATGATCTTATGTCTTATGTGGCGATCTGGTGAGGAAGCAAAAAAACATTCCACCATCTCAATATAGTAGATCTTGCGTTTTGGTGCTATTACAGCTATTTTGGTATTTTTATACGTAGAATGTTTCAGAAAAGAATCACGAGTATGTATATAGTTTATGTATACACGGAGAGAATTTTTTTTTTAATTTACCCTGCAAATCATGTTAATTGTGGGACAATATAGTATTTAGGCAAATTTTACTGTGCACCACAATAAGATTTTACAGTGAAATTTATTGTAGAGCACAGTACAGTTTGCCTAAATACTATATTGTCCCACAATTAACATGATTTGCAGGGTAAATTTAAAAAAAAATTCTCTCCGTGTAGAAATGATCACACAGAATACCTGCGTATAATTTTTTTGTTATAATTCTTTTTATTTTTAAAATTAAATTTTACTTTTCTTCGTTATTTCAAATGTAACGTATCGTTATTCCTGACTTTCTGCGTGTGCTAGATCTTTCGCGTGAAAATATATTCATATGACAACCGCGTGCATCTAAACGGTGTTCTTACGTACTCGTGCTAATTTCCAGGACCGACAATTCGCGCCGGGTGTTTATTTCGGTGCATTAGCGAAACAGTAGGTGCGGTAACCGTGCAAATGTAAAATGCTCGTCCGGAGAACGGAAAGGGTGACGCGAAATTACGGCTGTCATGGCATAAATTTAGACCGCGATTTGCCACCGTTTCGGACCGCCTGCACCTCTATCATCTCGTCTGGCTAAAGTCGCGATAACAAGTAAGCTGGAAAAAGAGAAGCATAATCGTGTCGTAAATCGAAATGTAGAGGAGATAAGAACTTTGTTGCCTAAAAAATATATTTTGCCATTTTTGACGGTTTCTTTCACATATCGTTTGCAAAATTTTCGCATCACCTCGTAACTTTCATGCGGCGTGTCGCAGCTGACGCTGCACGGAAATCGAATATTTTTATCAAGCATACAAGCGTAAATTGCCCGTCTGCACCGAGCAATTTATCCCCAAAGCGGGTGTGTCGCTTCCTATTAATTCATCTCGCAGATTGGCATCAGCACGGTAATGCGGTATTTTCTGCCAATTCACTTTGACACCTAGGAAAACAGAAGTGCACGTTCGTCATTCATCACCTGCGATCTGTTCAATGGACCGCTCGTATCTTTGATCTCGAACGCTGAGACATGAACGAAGTCGCACGATTTATCACTCTCACATATTTCTTGGCTGGTATTAGCACGTGTTATACCGACTGTTTCAGTGCGGCGTGAGATTTGGCAGCAGTCATCTTATAGACGGAATTTTCACGGAGCCGACTTTGGAACCGGGTTATAATTTGGTGGCGGTGGTCCCACGTGGCGCCTTGGCACTGAACGTGACCGAACTCCGCCGCACGCAGAACTATCTTGGTAAGAGAAATAGGAATTTATGACTATTGATGAAGATAAATTAAGATGGCTAAACTATTTTCATTCAGCTCCGCCTTTTCATTTAACCTTGCACCGTATTATAATATTTAAGCGTTTTGCATTTAGATATAAATAGAGATAATAAGCAGCATGTATTTTGTTTTCGAGCCTATATTAGCATTATAATTTTAATCATTAGAATCATTTTATATATTTTAATGTCTCTATTTTCTAAAATCGCAGCGAATGTGTAAAATTTCTTTGACAGAAAGTTATATTCTAAGAAAGCTAATCCTAATTTTTGCAAAATATTATTTTTAATTATTTTTTATTAGACATAAATTATGTCAAGATATAAATTAATGTTGGCATATACATGCACTTTGTGCATTTTGCAATGTAAATTGGTTATATGATCAGGACGTGACTTATAGTGATTCTTTTTTACCTGGCGTCAGATACTATCAGTGCTAACATTAATTGCGCGATTGGCGCCAGGTAGAATAATTCAGTGGTATTGCTTTGGATTTCGTGGAAATTGCAGGCAACCGGTTACGAGGAATGCATTTCCACCTACCGTGATTTCTCACTATTTAAGCACTGTTTACGGTAACCCGTTACATGGCGTGGTCGTTAAATAGCGACCGCACCCGACGATTAAGATCATCGTCGTCCCGCGAATCTTTTATAAGCAAAAATTCATTTACAACAGACTTTCTGTCTGCGAGAGAAAAAATGACGTGATTTGAAGAGAATTGAAATGAAGAGAATAATGAAAGGCATTATTTATTTTAATAAAATTATAATGTTACTATATTGAAATCTGTACTTGCAATAAAGATTTATGGCAAATTACAAAAATTTTAAGAATTATTGAAAATAGTTGTCATTATTAAAGTAGTGACGTCCGTTTAATTATCTCTCTGGTTAGTTATCTTCATCAGATATCTCAGTTATTTCTAAGCCTAAGAATAATAATTTTCTGCCATAAAACAAGACGTATTGTAAGTGTCGCGATTAATAGTTATGACTATTGAATTTGCCAAAACCAATTAATATTTCTTTTCTTCGAAAAACATAAAGTGTTCAAGATAATTAAAGTATTAAAGTACACTTTACATAATTTACCATGCAAAATTCATAATTCTCGGAGATTATATTTGAAAAAATACTTTATTGAAAAATATTTGCACGCAATTATTCGCAAACTACTCTTTCTATTCTTCTTTCTAATTAATTTAGAAGATTTATACACATATATTATACATGTATTCTGGCGTTTTTACATTTAAAAGCAATAATTGCAGTAAAAACTGACAGTAAATAATATTAAACCAGCGTTAAAAAATTAATGAGAATGACAAGAAAGCAAAGAAATGTAATAAATAAATTTTTGGAATATATAAAAATAAACAATTTTAAAATAATGTCTAAAGCAATATTTAAAGCGTGGTATTAGTTTATGTGATGTTGATGTACTATTCAAAATTTAATTTAAAATTGAGCCCTGAGTACATGAAGGTAAACATCATTGTGCCACCTTCGATGCCTTTCGAATCCATTCATCGTTTAATCGAAGCAACGTAGCGATTACCTTTCACAGGATGCGAATAACAGATCATAATCAATGCACCTATGCAACGATTGCGTCGCCGATAAGCAAATAAGTCGCCAGCGGCGTGATTAGTTGCGATCGTTAACAATACTGTCGGAACCTTCATTATCGCCGACGTGATCGCACCTCCCATTATCCTCACTTAATCCATGAAGATGAATGAGGGAAATCGATAGGAAATTGCTTCGTAAAATTAAATCTATTCAATCTTTGAGAAAATTCAGAGAACATAAAAACATAAAATTTACAAAGTATAATGTAGTTAATAAATTATTGTATAGATATATAATGTTTCTAACAAATTAGAATTTTCTCTAAGGAGATTGTATTAAAATTAATTTTTTAGGAATTAATTAGGAATTGAAAATTAAATTCTGCAAAATACATTTCTGTCAGCTTTAATCCACTTGTTTTCTGCGGCATGCGCTTGTAACGTAAGGTAACGTAATCTAATCTCTTTCGCGGCATCGTAAGTGGAACGGGGCCCGTTGTCCATCTAAATTAGATGCACCGGCCCGTGCCACGTGGATTACATAAATCGCGCGCGACCGTAAACTCGCTCATAAACGACTGCTATTGTGCACCCAAGTTTCGCTTAAACGATCGTGATTACTAGTTTTAGCGTGATCCGTGTCAATCGACGTGTCGAAGATCATCAACGCTCTATGTACAGAATTAAGTAGTTCACTCGCAAATAAATGCGGTCATCGTAATTTATTTTATGTCTAAATAAATCAATGCGTTTGCGATATATTTTATATTATAAATAAATACGTTTAGATATGCATAGTAATATATATTTAATTGCAATGTTCTTGCTAGATATGTAATCTAAAGAGGATAATTAATAATATTGTCTACTTTTTTAAGAAATGTAAACAATTTTATTACAATATTATTAATAGATGTATTTTTGTAATCTGCATCTCAGACAGCGGTTCAAAAAATCTCAACACTTTTCTTATAATTAAAATACATAATGAGATGTAATATATATAAAATAATAAATTTGCAGCAATTAGATTGCAAGATGGCAGTTATTTATTGAATGGGAATAATTTGATCAATTGGTCCGGCGAATACAAAGGGGCTGGCACAACATTTGTTTATCGTCGTCAAAGTCCTCAGAATTTAGAAAGCTTCTCTGCCGCTGGTCCATTGCAGGAACCCATAGATGTTATGGTAAGTAATATGGTAGGCTTTAATCTAAGTTATATACTTGAAAACATCCACAGATATTACATATGCTTCATATCTTATGGAACATTTTGCATATCCTTTGATCAAATAATAGACATTGTTATAACGCAACCGTAATAATGGCGGCTTAGAATAGCAATTGTTGCACGCTAGCAATCGTAGGCGTTAATGAGTTCAACCGAGTTCCATTTAACCCTTTCACCGCTGATTTTCCGCTACAATTGTCATAAATCGTATAGGTTCTATGTTCAATGATGTTAAATTGCATATATACTCTTTCCACTTTTATATATAATACTAAAATTCAATAATTAAAATTATTATTATTTAATAATTATTATTTAATATAATAATTTAATAATTAAAAACTATTTTAAGTAAATCTAAACTGAAAACTTTTATTATTTCGTAGGTTTTGTACCAGGAACCGAATCCTGGTATTGTTTATCGATATCGGATTCCTGGAAGTACAAATTTACCAAGAAGCAATCATTTTCCGCATAATGCAGGTATTATTTTATTACAGCAGCACATATTTCGAGAAAATTCCAAAATTATTAAATGTTATTGATTTTCAAATATCTCTTACAAAGAACAAATAAAGAAGTTTTTTTTAATATTTGGATATTTATTTTTAGACTCATTTCATTTAATAAGTAAATAAAAAATCAATATTTTAGTTATTTTTTTTTTAAGTAATACAAATATTAAATGTTAAATGTATACAAAACATTATTAAAATAAAAATGTGTTTGATTGCAGTTTCCAATAAGGGTATTGAACATAGCTTACAAAATAGAAGGTAAGAAGTTCTTTTGATAAATTAACATATGTTCAAATTAATCTAGTAAGTAAAATATATATAGGCTGCCTTTTGAGGATACAAGTGCCACGTTTTAAATTTCATATATCTAATAATTACAAAGAATCTAATTTTAGATTTGAGAATGGACCAGTGAATAATGTAACATCTCTACCTTATTCACCACGACGTTATAGAAAACGAAAATTCACTTGGAAAACAATTGGTCACGGCGAGTGCAGCAAATCATGCGGCGGAGGTAAACCATAAGTAGCTGATAATTAGTTTGTCTTATAAGAAGTTATGTAGAGATCTGTGAGTACAAGAGATGTATTGTTACATAAGGTGTACAGATACTCAAACACGTGTGTATCAAAGAACACACACAGCAGCCAGTACCGGAGAAGAGATGCCATGGATTGGAAAAGTTGCACGAAATTCACAGATGTAATACCATGCCATGTCCTCCTAGGTAATCTGATTTTAATTTGTACTCCATGTAAAAAGTCTCTTATATAAAGCATATAATTGCATGATATTAAATAATAATCGTACAATAATAATATAAAAAAAAATGCATGAAAACACATGTAAATTACAAATTAATGTAACTGCATGGATGTTGCAATTATCTTACATCTTGTTAAGCTTTTAATATACTTAGAACAATACGTATATTATTAATTTTATTAACATTATCAAAACATTTTTGCGATGAGTATTTAATAAAGATAAAGCAATTCGTTAAGAAATATATTGTTTTTAAAATTGCAAAAAATTTAAGCTAAAATTTTATTGCTTTTATTAAGCGAATAATAAATATATACGTTTCTTAAAAATTTTATTAATTATTTAAGAACTTTTTTTACGTCTTTTTGAAATAAAAACTGTACTTTTGGAGGTGGCGAGGCGGCCCATGGAGTGACTGTTCTACTTCCTGCGGCACTGGGATTCGTACACGGGAACTCGAGTGCGTACAGGAAGTAAGAACGTCATTAACGATGAGAATTGCCGATGGCGCCTGCACAGAACCGAGAAATCTGCCGATAAGCGAAGTGTGCGAAATGCCAGCGTGCGAGGAGATCAGGCAAACGTCGACGCAGAAGTCCACTCAATCATTGGCTCCGCGATGGACCGTGGGCGTTTGGTCGCAGGTAATTTTATTCAGGCGCATATATATATACGCAATGAATCAATCGATAATTTACTATATGAAAGAGAAAATAAAATGTACGATGTGTTACATGAGATATTTAGACAGTTTCATTAACATAATGATATCAACAAAACTAGGTTGAATTTATAAGTTTAGATTTATAAGTTTAATATGTAATTAAGCTTTTGTATTTGTTATATTTTTTTGAAGTAAAACAATTTAAAAAGGTTTCTTATTTTTTATAGTAAACAATTATTTATATATGAAAGTATTATATGTATATTTTAATAGAAATTTTTTATGTCATTTGTTTTAAAGTGCTCCGTGTCCTGTGGCGAGGGGAAAAGAACGAGAGACGTAACTTGTGTTACTGACGATCCTGACGATGCTCCGTGCAATCTCTCAGATAAACCTGAGGCATATGAAACGTGTGATTCAGGACCATGTCTAACGAAATCAACGCCGCTGAACGTTGTTTCTGCGAAGCTTCAGAACCCGCAGTGGTTATTCACTGATTGGTCTGACCAGGTAAGCTGTTATCATTTGCAAATTCTATATGAGATTTCAAAGTATCTAATAAAAACAAAGATATAATCAGCTTATTTTTAATATTAATATTAATTTTTTAACAGAAGAACCGATAAAGAATAGACAATTTTTAAGTTATCACATTATCTGAAACATTTGATATTATGCTAATTAAAAGATTACCGTGATTGATTAACAATCTATAATTATCGACGTTAGTGCTCGGCTGAATGTGGAACTGGAGTTCAGACTAGGAGAGTTTTTTGCGAGACAAACTCTGACAATGAATCTTGCGACGAATCGAGTCGACCTGAGACCTCCAGAGATTGTTCGAGCAACAGAACTTGCAGCGGCCAATGGTTTACAGGGCCGTGGACGGAGGTCAGGATTAAATACAATTGTCTAAAAAATCTATAAAAAGTAATATTAAAGTAGAAAGTCGTATTATAAATATTATGAATTTATGTAACATAACAAATACAACGTATGCTACATGTTTGTTTGTCACTCACATATATATTATAAGAATTCAAAAGAATATATGATTATATGTGCTCTGCTTTATAATTATTTTAATATAAAATTTTTTTTATGTTAACTGTCAGTGTGCCAATAGTGATTTTATATTTTTATAGTGTTCTTCAAGTTGCGACGTGGGTGAGCAAGTTAGAGATGTCGTATGCGTTACAACTCTTCGAGGCTCTCTACGTGTTGTCTTAGACATGAATTGCCCGGCAAACAAACCGGAGAGTAGAAAATTATGCAGAGAGCGTCCCTGCACCTCTGCTTGGTTTATATCGGACTGGATGCCGGTAAATATTTATCATATTTATATTATTGCGTTAAACTCTCAAGATGAAAATCTCAATGACTATAACGTGGAACTTGGCAAATTGTACTTGCTTCGGTTCGCAGTGTTCGCGATCTTGCGGTAAAGGTATGCAAAAACGCGAAATCCGATGTCTGAATTCGGATGGCCAATTACCTGAATCGTATCAGCATCACTGCCGAGAGGAGAATCGACCAGTATCTCGAAGGGTATGCAACGATTATCCTTGCAGAGACGATCTACGGGCGCCTGAAAATTCTCATAGGATCCTTCAAGTTCAGGACGATCCCGAGATAACGAATGGTTAAATTTTCAATTTTAAGATACAGATAATTTAGTAGATGAATTAAACGTAACAATTTATAGTTTCTAAAAAGTCTAGATCTTTGATATAAAAAATTATACATAAAATGTTATTTTCACGTATTACATATAAATATTTCATTTATTTCAGGTGTTGAAGACAATCCGCTTTGCAAAGATAAAATGGCTAACTGCAATTTAGTCACGCAAGCTCGGCTCTGTTCATATCAATTTTATCAAGAGTCTTGCTGTCTATCGTGTTCTCGAGGCAAGCAGGATTTTGAATAGAAATCCTTCCTTCCTGAGACAATCATGCTCACACTCATTACGACTTTTTAATACAAAAAACTGCCTTTAGTAGCGTTTCCTGTTAGTATACACCGCCAATTAAAACTCTATTTGTGTCGCCTATTGGTACAAATAATTTTTAATAATTAATAGATAAAACTTTTGTACGTTTTTTATGTATAGAAGTGTAGATATATGCATGCTGCATAGCAATTAATATAAAGCTCACGATTTTGTCGAAAAAAAAGATTTCGAGCAAGATAATTTGATAAAGAAATGGAAGAGACTGATCGCGTGTAATTACCGGTTCGTTGTAATGATTTGACGCAGCATTTAAATCCGCACTGTTCTCGCTTAACATAAATATATATATTGAGCATTAATAAATATTGCTTTTTCAATTCCTCGTTGTTCACTTACCTTCTATTTCTCTGCGTCCTTTTTTTTATTTCAACGCTTTAATTTCAGTGCAAGGAATTTTACGCAAAAAAAACATATATATTATTATTCAACAATGAGCGAGGAACGCGTTACTATTTACATTGCCTCTGAAGTATAAACCTACTTACTATATTCTCTATTGAGAAAATAAATTATATATACAGATAAAAAACATTTTTTAAACTAGAAGTTTTATCATGGAAACAAGACGGTTTCCAGATATTAAATATTGAGCTTATGAACCTTTGATTAATTCTATAAATCTTTGATTGATCTGCTTCAAGAATTGTCTTCGCTTTCTTCTGTGCTATTTGTACTGTTATCGTGATTCTTGTACGCTGAGAAGAACGCCAAAGCCTTCATCAGCTGGTAACTCTTGCTGATGGGTATATTACTGTCGTACAAGTTCTTTGAAGATTTACAGTCTACGTAGAACCACCAGTTGCACTTCAGAATCGTTTGATCGAACAACGTCGATTCCGGACAGAGGAAGCTCTTCATGATCAAGCCATCGTCTGTCAGTGCGCAGACATGGAACACCTAATTGCACAAAATTTCAATTTCAAGAGTTTTTAAAAATAAGTATTGTATATGAATTAAATGTTTTTCTGAAAGATTACTTTAATATAATGTTTTTAAAAGCCTCACCATACATCCCAAATCTTCGTCGGCATAGAGACCCGGAAAATGCTTTTGATCGCCACAGTAGAAACTCGTATCCGGCAGATCGACGCGACTTGCAAAATTATCGTCGAAGTTCTTGTCGTATCCAACGGGATAGTATTCCCGCGGCGCATTCATCACTTTAGTAACTCCGGAATTGTATTTACTGTAAATTAAAAAGTTAGATTTCTTTCTTGAGTGACTTTATACATTCCTCAAAAAATTTGAAACTAAAATATCTCGTAAATAATGAACGAAAAATATGTAATGAGCAAAATTATATAGGACTAAATAAAATGTGCCTAACGGTGATAAGAATTTAATTTTAGGTGAAATCTGCAGTCATACAAAGTCCTATAAAGGTACAAGTGAATTTTTTTAATTCCCATTTTTTATTGCATACTAGAACAAAACAAAGCTTTCCAAAAGTTTTCAAGAGCTTTCCAAAACATATAATATAATAAAGTATTCTTTGTTAAGTCTATATTAAGTATCCCAAGTTATGAGACTTGAAATTTACAGTATACCGTCGGCAGTAATATTATATCAGATGTGTGAACGGCTAAAGCTTTTTGAATGATGTTCAAGATCATGATCTTGACAGCATATATATGTCAAGGTCAAGGTCAAGGTCATTGAAAATTGTCCCTCTTTTTTTTTAAATAAAAATAATTTTCAAAAATAAAAATAAGAGCAACAATCTCCAATGGCCTTAATCTTGGCATATGTGTCAAGGTCATGGTCCTGAATAATATTTTAGAGATTTTAGCCGTTGTTTGGACAGTGGGATAATATGCTAATGCTTACTGTACACTTCAAGCCTCATAACTCGATATACTTAATTTATTATAGTGCTTTGGAAAGCTCTTAAAGTAAACTACAAGAATATGCAATAAAAAATGAGATAGGCGGATTCCATTTAAAAAATTCAACTTGACCTTAATATGATCTGTTGCGGATTCTACCCAAAGTCAAATTCTTATCACCGTCATTAGGCATTTTATTTAGTCCTACAACTTCGCTTCTTACATATTTTTCGCTATAGTTGATTGTTTTCGAGATATTTTAGTATTTCTGGACTTTTTGAGGACCCTGTGTATGTATGTATTTTATTGTATGTACAAAGTAGGTATACAATTAAACATTAGACATAAAATGTAGATATTAAACGAGATATTCTACATAAAAAATACTTTTAATTTTTTATAAAGTAAAGATCTGTATCTTTTTAAATTAATTAAATGCTTACTTAAAAGATTATTAAATAGTTGAAAACATTAATTTAAAATAATTTACGTTTTAACAGGCGATAGTGTGGATGTTGTGGTGGTACTGGTACTTGTGGGTCCCTGTTGTTTTTTAAGAAGCTGTTGCTGTCTCAAAAGAATTGCTGCTTCCAAAGCTTCTAGAGTAATGTTACTTGCTTCTGCGAGAGTCTTCAAGGAGGTTTCCATCCCCTGGATGGGGGCCAAAGAAGGTAAATCGTTGGGCAGTGGTAAAGACTGTCGTTTTTCGTTTTGTTGAAGAGGCGATTGGCTGGCATCTGTTGCAGAAATGGGCTGCAGCGAGAGCAATGTCATTTCGTTCACTGAAGCAGCCATTTCGTCGCTCGGCAAAGGTAGCTGTATAAAAATAATAATAATAATATTCAAATTTACAGTCTTTATAAATATGCCTTTTTGTGGATACATTTATTAAAATATGTGGCAACATTTTATTAAATTTTATATATATATATATATAAAATATAAAAGTTGAAGATTAAATATAATTCGTATTGGCTCGCATACGGCCTCTACTTTAATATGTTTGATATATTCTCGTGAGCTTAGCTATTTCTCTAAATTATTATAATTAAAAATATTTCAATAATTACAATAGTAATAGTAAAGATAAAAATATTAAATTATATAAATGGAGTTTTAATAAAATTATTATTACGTTATATAAAACTACGGTTATACCTGTGTAAAATCATCTTTTGATACTTCGTTATCCGAGTCCTGTAGCAGGGTGCCACCACCACTGATTCTGTTCGTGAGTTTTGCTGACGATTGCGGCATCGCGATGAAAGGTGGCAAGCCAACGTTTGACATTAAATTAGCCGTTGCCTTTGATGATGACAACGATGGAAGGGCCTCAGCCTCGATCATACCTGGCGGAATTGCGGCAATGATAGGTAGTTTCGGCAGGGCTCCTGCTACCGCCATTATTTGTGGCTGTGGAAAATCGAAATATATATAGTGTAAATTACAGAGACTTACAAATACCAAGTGCCATATGTCGTTACCAGAATTTAATCAAGTGTAATATCTCTGATATTGCTCAAAGAGCTTTTCATTAGAATAAATTGAATCCATAGAAATAGAAATAGAAATGTATTCATATGTTTGATATAAGGAGCAGGTCACTTAATATTAAAAATACTTCGAAGCATTTGATTGATTAAACAGAAGAAAGAATTTTATTAATCAACCAGTCAAAGAATGCTTCGAAACATTTGTAGTATTAAGTTGATCGTAGCTATTTAGTGATAATAGCATATTATTGTTTAAAGGAACAATATTAATTAACAATTGAGATCGTAAAACGCCTACACGGTTTAAAGCGGATCTTAGTACTTCTATATAATATTAGTGTGACTCTTACAATTTTTGGTTTATATAACACTATGTGGTCGCAAATTATATGTAATAAATCAATGCTCAAAGCATCTATGTTAAATTCTGTGAAAATTCCCCCTCCCTTGCGACGTCAAATAAATGCTAACTTGCATCTATACGAACCATTCACACCGAATCTGTAAAGAAATTTATTGCGAAAAAATATCACCCCATATTCTCAGCCAGGAATGAGATGATATTTTTTCGCAATAAATTTCTTTACAGATTCGGTGTGAATGGTTCGTATAGATGCAAGTTAGCATTTATTTGACGTCGCGAGGGAGGGAGGATTTTCACAGGATTTAAAATCGATGCTTTGAGCATCGATTTATTAGATTGCCTTCGGCAATTTAATTGTGATATTACATATACCACTCGATTCGGAGCTGCGGTGAAGCACGCGATTTGTGACCACGTGGTGTTATACGAACCGAAAATTATATAAAGATTCACACTAATATTATATAGCAGCACCAAGATCCGCTTTGTATCGTGTAGGCGTTTTACGATCTCAATTGTTCATCAATTAAATTAAAATTAGAATTAATATTAAATAAATTGAGATTGAATCCAAAATAGATCACCATAACCATTTGGTCCTTCTTGTTTTCTATCGCCATAATCTGCTGCCGTTGTACGAGCATTTGCTGCTGCTGTTGCTTCTGCTGTTGCTGCAGCTTTTGTTGCTGCATTTGTTGCTGTCTCATAGCTTCCTGCTGCTGCAGACGTTGTTGTTTCAACATCTGTACCGCCAACGCCTCCTGTTGTATTCTCTGTTGCTGCTTTATCTTAGATTCTTGATGAATTCGTTGATGATGCTGGCGCAGCGCTTCCTGCTGCATCGCCGACAGCACTGGTGCCGCTTTAAGAGCCGTTGCGTTCACTATCAGCTTCTGACGTTCAGGTTGCTGGGCCATCGGTCGGACCGATCCGATAGGCAACGGCTTGAAGGGCGGTACTACTTGGCGGGTATTTACCGATCCTGCACGTGTCTCGTCGCGATTGTTTGCCTACAAAAATCATGGATTTGTATTCAGTGTGAAGTGAGAGAGGAATTTAAAATGCCGTCTCTCAGCCTCTCATGCCTAATTTTCTAGGCTAGTTCTAATAATACAGAGCCCGTGAGTTACACTTTGTGGAAAGTTGCACGACGCTCATTCGTGCGTTGCCTGAAGAAATGTCAGCAAAATCGTAACATATCGTATAAACACGCGGCGTACATATGTGAATGCCGCCGGAGCGACATTCACGCACCAGTTGTGACAAGGCCGATATCGGCAGTGTAATCCATATATATTTTCTTGCAGCGATGTAGAAAAACCGATCCATCTTATTCGATCTCCGACCTACATATTCCTCCCGAGGTGAGGACAAAGCATCACTATATTGCAATCGCTTCAATAGTCCCCTTCGCGTTAGAGAGACACAATCAGTAAAAGTAGATCTGGCCAGTAAATATTATATTTGCATACAAACGGTCGCAAAGTTAATGTAAACCGCAATAATACGCACACACACATAAGTCTAGTTATCGCAACATTTTAGTTATTATGTTTGATTATATAAATGTTTTAATTAGATTATATTTACATAATAAATAAACTTTCGCGATAAAGATTAAATTTCTACAAGCGAAATGTCGATTGCGAAATAATCGCACCAGATGGTCTTTTCTTCGGCAAAAGCGGCTACGAAATTAAAAGTTGGTAACGGCATTGTAGAATATAATCCTATGATTATCACTGATCGTTGCCGCGGAGCGAGACCAAGAGCTAGACAGCATCGAGAGCAGATGCAATTAGATTGCACACCGTGGAATGGTCAAAGTGGATTTCCAGAGGGGATATGAATAACGAGTGAACGCTTTCGCATTGATCCTCGTCCGCATTGGACTTTCCATGAGCCGATTTGAGTATGGCTATAATTTACGTTGATACCTATCGCCTATACACAGGATGTTCGGCCCGAAAGTATCGTGTGAGCGAACGTGTTAGGACTGGTATTGGTACAGAGAGCTTCGGGGCAACAAGGAAAGTAGAAAATACGACAAACTAGGCAATAAGCGAAAGTAAAATCGTCATACAATTTAATTCACTTGTTCGGTGTCTTACGTATTTTGTTTTAGAGATATCATTCACACAAGTAATATATGTATAATTTTTATATTCTGATATATGTCTGAGTAGCTTAGTTACTTGCCTACGTAAATTGGATGCATAAACTGGAGCATAAACTGGATTACTTTGGAATTTTTCACTTACCGTATTCAAAGGACTAAGTGCGAGTCCATTAACTCTGTTCGATTGCACGCTTCTTCGTTTTGCATTTTCCAAATTGGAGAGCGATTGGCCAAAGCCTAGCTCGTCTCCAATGGAAAATCCTGCAACCAAGCGAAATCGAATTAATTTTACTAATTATAAGCATGACGTGCAAACACTGGAAGACTTAAAATAGTATTGTGAGAAAACAGCAGTAGACGAGGCGATTTAATTTATTTACAAAGAGAAGAAGACAGCACTATTGTAGAAAGCTTCCTGTAAGTGTGTTAAGAGAATAGAGACGCGCAGTAAAGCGTAGATATACATGAAGAGTCAGTCAATATAGAAGTAGATTTTTCAGAACCACAATTCTGACGCACCAACCTCTTTTTCTCTTATTATTCTATTATTGTAAATATATTTATAATTATATATGTATAACTTGACAAAAATTTATGTACTTTTTCACATTTATATTTATTTTTACATTGAAATTTTTATATTGAAACTACACAGGATTTTGAAATCTCTCCATTAACATACTTTTATTTATGCGAATACAGTTTGTCAGCTAACTAGTAAATTGGCGGCAAGTTGAAGTCGGCAAATATTGTGTAAAAAGGCATTACGTCATTTTAACGCCTATAGTAACTCATTTTTACACTCTCGACATTTGATCCTCAGTTGCATATATTAAATCGTGTCCTCGTCGAAAAGGTCTTCCTTTACGAAGATGTATGATGGACATTTAGTTCACAACTGTGTCAGGTCAAGGCAGTGAATAAATCATAATCGACTTGTCAATGCGTTATTAAAGACGCGAAACAGCGACCGCGTCGGTCGGAGGGTAGTGTCCAGAAGTTGCATCCACAGGTTAAGCCATTACGTATTATTATGTCTATATACAGGCCAATCTACGCTTATTTCGTAATAATCCTGTCAATAACGCTGTTGCAATTTATTAAAGCAGTTAACTTATATGTGAGTCTTTCTTGCAAGAAATTCAGATTAATATAAGATAAGATTAAAATTAATTACGCTAGCTGCAGTGAGGAATTAAATCGTAAGATATTTTTGACAATTAAAAAATGATGAAACAAAATTGCACATTTAAACGTTCGTTATAATTATAGTAAGTAGAAAATCGTAAATAAGATTGAACGTCTTCGATTCAACATGGTTCGATTTGCTGTCAATCATCAAATTATGACATCACAATTGTTATATCACTTAAATGTACTCGTCACATCTTTTCAACCAAAAGGAACCTTATATAACAATCGCACGCGATTAAATTGGACATGCATTTTCCGACAGTGACACGGTAAACGCATCAGCACGCACGTAAATAGCGTGCACGGGTAGGCGAAAATTTCAACATAACACACAAATCGCCTTGTTTCTCAATATATGGTTTGGAGAGAAAAATATACACAATGAATATTTACAGACATAAATCAGTAGAAACTTAATTCCTTGAACTGCTGGCCAAATGAAATGCAGGTCACGTATAATTTAGAAATCACTATGGACATTTGCATTCATACACGCAGAACGTTTCACAATCTGTGACAGATGGGTATATCTGAGCAAAGTTCGTCTTATATTACACATAAATGCCCATTTAAACGTTCGTTACCAAATGATAAAATCTTAATTTGTTCTTAAGAAGTTTTCGTTACAAGCAGTAAATCCCTGTAAATAGTATGATCATAGTATGTTACAAAATCTCTTATAGTGAATTGGTTAAGCAATTTACGTAACATATAAAAAAATCGAATTCATCTTTTACATATAAACTTTATATATAAAAAATATAAGCATTTAAAGAAATCAAGGAAAAAGCATTTCGGTATTTAGTATTAGCAACATTAAATTATACTTTAACATTAAGTTAAATTAAATTTTAATTTAATTATACATGTATAATATTAAATTACTTAGTGCTTTAAATTAAAATCAATTATATTTATACATCAATATCATTTTATTACATAATTTTAATTGAAACTTTTATATACATATAGTTCATAAAACGATTTACTATATATTTTGCATCTATAAATATAGATCTATAGATTTTTCTTCTTAATACAATAAATATTCTTGGAAAGAGTCTACTATTTAAATTTTAAAGAGTTCTTTGTTAACTACATTAACACAAATTTAAGACCCGGATATGGACTAGATAATCAATTGATTCGTTTACATGTTAATTACATCGTCTCAAGGTCGTTCGTTTCCTTTACAATCTCCACGTGAAATTAATCGACCGAATCAGAGAACCGATCGGAGAACCGATCTATTAGTAAACGCGATTATTGAATTGACGATCGTGATCGCTCCCATATTCAACTCACCCAAGCCGACGTAACCCTTTACACCTCCGAGATTTCTGACACGGAAGAGACCGGACTTTTTGAAAGCACAGTTAAGAACAAATCCAAAGTCAGATTGAAACACACACGTGCCTAGCGCCTCCCGCCACGTACATCCTGCAAGCAGAACCGGAAGAAACAAAGCCATGGATCGTTCCTCTGATCCATCGAATTCGGAATGACGTTCTGCGTGATCCGTTATGCTCCGAGATGAATACGAGTTTCATGACTCTTGAAGTATCAGTTGTCTCAAGCTCCATGTTATATTAATAATGCCTGTCAAAGCTCTCACATGCATTTACAAATATTTTTGATTATAAAATTTTAATTTGCAACTTTTGTTATCAACTGTTTATAAATTAAGCAGAAGATGAAAGAAAAATTTACATTCGTTAATATAAAATTAATTGTAGACAATGAATATAAAATAAATATTCTTAAAAAATTATTGCCAAATCTCGACATTGTTAAATATAATTATTATAATTATTATAATTATAAATAATGATATAATGATAATGCATTTAAAAACATAAATATAATTTTATTTTGATATATAAAATAGTAAAACAAAAGGTTATTTTAATAAAAATTGATTGTTAAAAACGAATACTGAATAATCAGGGCACATGTTTGTAAATGATTTAACATTTGCATATTCTGTGCTATTGATTCTTCGTCGTCTGTTAACGTTGTGTTTTCAAAATATATACTTTCACCTAGAAAATATTTGCCTGGCGACCGAGTAAATAAATTAAAAGAAGATATTAATATTAATCTTTAAAAGTATGTCTAAGGAACAATTTGCAATCTTTATTACATTTCATTTTTGATGTTATATTATGCGTTATATTATATATGTAAAGTTATTTTTAATAAATTTCATTAATAAACTGATACTAACACGCGAATATTAAGGTAATATTTAAGATACTTTAATCGTGTATTATAATATATAAAAATATCAATTGTATATAAATGAAAGTAACTCTATGAATCTTTACTTTCCAATCTCCTTTCTCGAAGATTATTTTAAAGAGAAATAGCCTTGTCGCAATAACCACCACAAAAAAAAATAATAGTGATTTACGTCTACGTGTTTTCTCTTTGTTTGGACATAGAGCACTAAAAGGCTGTAGGCCAAATGTCATTAAAACTGTCCATCAAAACGATCTTTACTTTGTAGCAGTTTTCTATTTTCAATGATATATAGACATATTCCTTTCCATCAATAGAACTTTTAATGATATTTCACGTACCATAAATTTCAAACAAAATTACCATTTAGTTAGATCTATTTCTTGTCTCATTGTGATAATGATTATAGAATGACTATACATACTGCGATTACATTATCGTTCATTTCAATTATGTTAAAACAACTTATACACATATATCGAGTAAGTAGATTTTGCAAGAATTGGAATCTCTTCTTCGCAGGACGAGTACTCCAAACTTCGTGAAAGGTATTTCCGGAATTTGTTTAAGGAATATTTGCCGGACCGGAGGTGTGCCGTTGGGCCATAGCCTAGTGACCCACTTGAAACCTGACTAAACGCCCTGGCGTTGACCGATCGCCACGCATTACATGATTATCATGAGGTCAAACTGCTTTCTTCCCGATGTTAAAATTGTGACAATCTTCGAATTTCTGATTTTCGATCAATGTTGAAAGCAATATAAATAATCGGTGATTAATACTTATTTATATCCCAGCACAACGAACTGCAAGTCAACTTCAATATCAAAGTTAATATAGCATTACGTTTATTCACCGCAAACGAAAAAATTCTCGCCATCAGACAATTAAATTGTGAGAAAGAACATTGTAAAAATAACAATTAACTGAATCTTCATGAAGTGTCGCTTGCAGACTGGAGAAAACACGACAGCAGAGATCTCTTTTTTTTTCTTAATTAGCGACACCGGATGAGAAATAACAAAACATTGTGAAAGAGATTCTACAGACGGAGAGTACATAAATTATTACAGCATCAATGAAGTTAATAACTAACGGGACAAATTAATACCGAACACTGTTTTGTCGTTTGGTGATGCTAATAGCTTCCTTATTGCGATAAATACAGCCAAAGGAGAAGCCAGAATGATTGGTACTGTTCTCACTTCGAATTTATTATACAATCGCGTATTGCACTCTGTGACGCACGAAAGTCGGCGAAACGAGTGGCGTTTCGTAATGTGAGAAATTATCTTTGAATAGAAATTTTACCGTTCCAGTCCGATAAACGGATGTAAACCTCCTTTTTTTCAGGGCACTACTGGTAATGACACATCGCGTGTGTGTCATTCACGATAGTGAAAAGCAGAAGAAATCAAAGCTGCGAAATTTCACCGTGATTTGTGATAAGTTAGCTATCCGATCACATTAGCTACATTCAAAATAGCAGTCGCGGTTGACTGCACATATGGGCTTAATAATTTATATTTGTGTACTCGTACACCGATACAATGTGAAAAATAAAATGTTGTTATATATATGATTCAATTGTAACATAACAGCTCTCTCTCTATGCTTGAGAAAAAGAAAGACCAACAAGATATATTACTTGCAGATATACCTTGCAGAAAAATAAATGATTAATATGTCGGGAAGATCGATAGTTCTGTCGAAGAAACTCGTTTTTATATGCGAGTTTAGATTTATTTGCAAATAGAGGCAACACGAGGATGATGATATTTGATGGTACAGATCTCACACATACTTTCGCTTTTGAGGGATGCCTGATGTAATCGAGTCACGATATGATTCTCAGGAATTGTACAGGATTCTACGAACGATGGCGAAATTCACTTTTCTTCACTTAACCGGGATTCTCATCGTCGAACGACATAACAATGATCGTATACCGAGCGAATACCGTGTAATACTTTCCGAAGGCCTTCACCTTGACTGCCAGCCGCTTCGATAATATTACTTTATTATCTCTGCTCTATCATCAGATTCCGATTACGGAGAAAATGAAAGAAAATCGACGCGATCTACGATTCAGAAACTAACGCCAATCTCTCCTTTCGCAGACGCTGACAATTGCCGACTATAAAGTAAATCCGATAATCCATTAAATTTACATAATGATCTGTCGATCGTGATCATTAATCAAGGTAAAATCGTTTGATAAAGGAAAGTAGATCACATCTTATTCCCTTGAATGCACTTTTTATACTTTATCATGGCATTTATTATTCCAAAGGAAAGATAAAGTAATTTGTAATTGAAAATAAATTGCAAATATTAATATTAATATTAATCGGTTACAAAACATTTTTTGTGAGATATCAGATTTGAAATAATAAAATGACAATTGAAAAAAAATATGAATCTTGTCTGACAATTACAAATATAATGAACGACTGACGTCAACTTGACGAGGCCAGCATTGTTAGACGTAACTAAGTAGAAAGTATGCGCACAGATGACATTTACACAGACAGGTTGGCCTGATTCCCCAAATACGCATCCCGCGAATCTCGGTAAAAGGATTATCGGCAGAAGCCGAACCGGTCAGTCTTTAAGGTAATCTAATTTTTGACTGGGCACGTCGTCATTTCGAAATCAAACGGGACATTCTCCTATTTTCGTGTCACGTACCGCTTCATTGAGCTTGAAGAAATAGATTGCATACATGTAATAAATAGTTATCATCCACAAATAAATATTACAACGATACAAAATACGATCTCTCTATTTTAAGATAAGATGTTTTATGCTTTTGAAGTTTTAAGTGTTTGACGCGTTTTAGCAAATTCAAATAAATAAAAATTGTTTTCGACAGATTAAATAAACCTAACCAGATTTTCTATATCAGTTGGTAAGAGAACTACAGTCTATAGAGTCTAGAAATAGACCGGTTAATTCGGAAGTTAGTCAACACAGAAATAATTAACCCCGATTCGATTTAGCCACAGAAAAACATGTACGTTTCACTTTAATACCAAATTCTGAGCTTAGAGAACTTAAATACAATTACACTTTAATTCACATAGTACGGCAGATCTAAGTATGAAAGCCGCTTTTCCGATAATCGTGGAGAAAGCTTTCGCATCTTTAATTACGCGTCATATCCGTTGACATGTTAAGTTTATAGCATGTACAGAAAAAATAAGAGCTACATGCTGCTATATATCTTTCGTAGAAACTTCGGCAAATACTCGCGCGTATCTCTTTCCCTTCTTCTTCACTTTTGTAAAAAAAAAAAAAATATACAATTACACAGAAGAAGCGAAGCCGAGTCCTTTCTCTTAGATCACTTTCGATGACGATTATCCAGCGATCGAAATTGTGTACTTTCGACGTCCTGCTCCATTTTTTCATTCTACATTTTGCGGCGCGTGTACCCAATCTTTTCGCACTTTCTATCCTGCATCACTGAGCAAATCAATGGCAATACTTTTCTCAATGCGGTAATTTTTGACCGCCTATACGTTATGTATACTGTTATACTGTGCGCAGCGTATCGCGTAAGAAACGCTTTATTACATGAATCTCTTTTGAAACACTTTTAATTTTACGATGTCAGGAAATCAAACAATGTAATATTTAAATTCTTTTCAATTATTGAAAGAAATAGTACTAAGTATAAATAGTACTATTAAAGATTATTAATAATAATAAAAAAAAAATAATTATGTGTGTTCGTCAGCAATTGAAAATAAAATTTAAAGAAATAAAAGTAATAGAAAAAATTATACTTAAAAAATTTTGCAACTTCTTGAATCAAATATATTTGTTTTCTTTATATAATATATTGATTTAAAAGTTGTCATTAATATTAAATTTATCAAGAATTTCAAATTTACAACATACGTTTGTTTTGTTAAATAAAATAATGAGCTGCAAAACAGACTTCACATTTTCAAAGTATTATTAAGCCTATTTGAGCAATATACACAAGAGAATAAATTAGTTAACGTAGCGAGAGCCACGGCTAATCATACAGTTTCATCATTTTTATTTACACATTATGTACACATACATAGATATACGATATGTACACCGACTAGTTTCAATGACTTCCTTTCTGTTAGATGTATAACAAAGATGAATAAATAATTTGCAATATTAACCGAAATGATTGTGTCTTTGACAAATATGCAAAAATACACCTTTTTACATACTGAATTATTTTACATGCTTATACTTTACAATTTGTAAAGACAAGAAATCCAAAGTTATTGTACACTTGTAAAATTGTTACAAATATTTCAATTGGCTATTTATCATAGAAAAAATAAATTATATTATTTATATAAAAGATTTCTTACTTATTTCTTTAAAAAAACGCCATTTTGATTAGAAATACTTTATTTGCGAAAATGTGAAAGATTTCCTTACAAAAATAGGTTAAAATCTTTAAGAAATTTCCACTGATCCTGACGCATCACGACGCATAATGATGCATCGAGTGCAATGCACTACAGTATCGGCCCGCAAGAAGTCCAGCTGCTTTTCACAATGCGTAACCATCGCAGTCACGCTCAGATCATTGCAAACAGTAGCGTGAAATTACGGAAAATTATATTTTTGCGCGCAATTCACGTATCTAAGCTGATATACTGCGAATTTTTCACGGGACATATAGTACCTGCTTAACGTAATGTCGTACGCAAAGACCCATACATATGTACAAATGCTTTATCACAGAGCGAGAAATTTCTTCGCTATAGAGAGGAACAAGACTATTAGTACAGTAAGGAAGAAGTACGCTGATTAATTGATCGATTTACAGCGTGTGAGACGTGCAGTCGAGTTAAGAATAATGTACAGACGTCGAAGTCGATAGCACAGAATAAAAATTATGCAGTTCATACAAGGCGCAATAAAAATGAGAGAAAGGCCCAACAAATGAAATCGCCCATGTAAAAACGATACGACGGTTTTTGCAATCGGCTTTCAAATTCGACTCCGTTGCAAATCGTTGATTTAAAACTTTACAACAAATCTGACTATTGCATTAAATAAATACTCAATAAATATTCAACTTTATATTAATGATACAAATAAACAGGAGATAATAATCATGTGTCACTTAAAATATTTAAAGTATTAAAATATTTTTTTAGCAACTTAATGCATTTTATAATAAATTAGTACAAATTACATAAAGTTTGCTTAAAACTTTCTTTACTAATTAACAAAGGATTAACGCAATTAATATCATATATACATTTTATTATAAAAATACGATTAGGCATAAGAAGATTTGAAAACCGATGTTTACGATGAATATCAAAAGAAATATTCAATGAAAATTTGTATACATCAAACGATTAATGCATTTATAACGATCGTTCTATTTTATTATGATACTAGAATTAATTTTTATATTGCACAATTGACGGCACATCAGATGTGTATCTTGAACTCTGCGTTCTATTTGACATACTAATATAAATTTTTCAGATTATTTAATTATTAATGCACAATCACTCAATGGATACGAATATATCACAAAATTGTAATCAAAATTATGTATTAAATTAGAGATATTAATGCAGCAAGAGCGACGAAATAACCGGATGTGCACTTGCACATCGACGGTCACTGTCGTGCTCTGCATTTTACGCATCTTACACAGAAGTGGCGCAGCTGGATGGTTTTACATCAGTGACGTTTACCTTAATAAAAATTTAAATTTTGAACTTGAAATTAATTTGAAAAATCCACTTATTAAATCACATCACATTAATTTAAATATTTTACTGTGAGTTTCTCGAGAAGAGAGAAGGAGAAAGAGTACAAATATAAATAATATATATATTTTACAAAGTAACGAAAGGAAAGTAAACCGTCTGCAGCCACGTCACTTCTTGAAAAAAGAAACAAACTACTTACCGACGACTACGAAGAGAAATAATGTAGTGGCGATCTTCATTCTCGTCGATCCAGTTTTAATTGCCACTATCCTTAGGATCTCAGAGCCGTCGATTCTCGCGAAACGATCCTGAGAATCGTTAGGAACAAGAAACGGAGACAAGAGTGCAATGAAGCGCAAGGACTTCGCGGAGAAAACTTGCTTGCAGGCTGATCGAAACCTTGCTACTAGTAATCGACGATCGCCGATGAAAAACGTCCGGCAAGCTACTCGATCTCGCGTATACTAATAGTACATGGACATGCTCGACAAAGGTAAGCACGCGGGGCACTTTCAGACTTCATCTGGCTTCCAGGGCCGACCAAGTCCTGGCACTTTACACTCTGTCGTATCCCCTCCCATACTAGGAGAAGACATCCCATTTAATGCAATATTATAAAATTAAAATCCATATCATTAATATATACATCTTTTAAATTTGACAATTTTTTGAAATAATTTGTAATCAAAACACACATGTGACCGATTACTTTAAAAATGATTCTTCGACTTTAATATTTATTTTTTGCTTGTTATATTTTATATTTTTCAATATAATTATATTTTATGTTTTTCAAATTACTTTTATTATTCCAATTTCAGATAAAAGTAAAATCTGCACAGCAAATTTAATATTTTAAAGACGTAATATAATTTATTTTTAGCTCAGAAATGACTTTAATGAATTTTTTAATTATAATATACAAAGAGGTACTCAAAATATACAATGGAATATTTAAATGAATTAATTTTTATTAGCATTTCAGGAAAGATTATTTAATATTTAAATTTAAATATTTTCTTTATCGTATAAAATGATAAATATTCAATAAATTTTTTAAGAGAAGCTTAAAATTTTATTCCTCATACTTGTTTTCTTTTTTCTTTTAATTTTCCATTTAACTGTTTATTTAATTGTATCTTTTTCTTAAAAAATACTATATATTCAATTTAAAATATTTCTATTTTTTAATCAATATTATTATGTATAAAATTTAAAAAT